ATTGAAACGAAAAAGCCTTCGTTTTAAATAGTTGGAAAAAAGCCAAACGAGCCCAGATGGGAAAAAATGATAGCAAACATTCACCTTCGCTTGGGTATTTTTTATGTAGACAATATGCAAATTACTTTTGACAGGCTTTTGCAATGTTTTGATTTATGGAATTCTTTTATAAGAAAGTTGTATGCTGAAGTCGCCTTCTAACAAAATTTATTTATTTTTCTTTTCTTCCTTATTTTAACAAATACTCCTTAATGCGTAGCTTGCGCGACGTCGTTATAAAGGAACATTATGTATTTTTTTATATATAATTAATTCTACTGTACGTGTAATCACTGAACACCTCTTAAACGGCTGGACCGAATTGAATGTGTGTGAGCAAAAATTTTAATGAATTTTTTTGGTATATCTTAGGGGGGCGTCCTGGATGGTTTAGTTTCACAAATCAGCCCGGCAGATGGCGCTGCAGTCGGTATCTAGTTTTTCTATACTGCAACTAAACAGCTGGTGTTTCAGGTCTTTCATTTCACACTTTGCTTAATATCCTAATCATGAAATATCCTGCAGGACAACTTCCGTCGGATCCGCTAGTTAACTATAAAAAAGGACCCACTACTGTATATAATATTTTTATATATGTATTAGTTAATTCAATGGACCCAAGATGTTGTATGCAAAAGTATGTACAAATAAGCACAATTCTAAATAACAACAAACCAGCGCTATAACCATATAGGTTCTCATAATGGAAATGTTTCTCTGATATTTTAATAGACAAGTACGTGATCAGCCTTCTATGTCTGCATATGTCAATTGTCATATAAATATAAATATAAGAGTCATTCCTCCAACTTCGATTTTGTTCCCTTTGGAGTAGACTCTTGGGCCGTGGAATTCAAGTGCACAGGTGCTTATTAAAGATTTAAGTTGGCGCCTAGTAGATAGTACCGGTGACCCCAGAGCTGGTACTTTCCTGGCTCAACGAATAAGTATCACAATACAGCGTGGAAATGCTGCCAGCGTTAAAGGTACACTGCCACAGGGACTAAACTTTTTAAATTTGTTTTGATTTTCTTTTTAATAATTTGTTAAGATAGGTAAATACTGTATATTTGATTATTGTTGAGGTTTTAATAAACGATATAATCTTATGTTATCTATATTATATATATATACTTGATTGTAAATAATTAAAGAAAATACTTATGACAAATTATTGTCATGGAATTTGTAAACACGATCTCAGGAATGAGAGTCGCAACCTTAAACCAAAGCCAACGCTTAAAATTTGACGGTGTTTGAACGGGGCAAAGTTTAAAAAATTTGCATCTCTCATAAAAGCTTAAATTTCGGAATTCGGAACATTTGAGCTGCGCCATACAATTTACGTCCACCTTGAGACTGTTGTGATAATGTGATTCCAACGCAGCCTCTGACCCAGATAGTGTGACCAGCGAATTAATTACTTGCAATTTGTCGACCGTAATAATTGAATGCACATTTTAATTGGACAAAAATTGCACCGTGACGTAACGTAGGTCCGACCTGTACCGTCTTTTGATGAATGACTCGCTATTTATAATTTTCACCTGCAAATTGCTAAGACCTTTGATCAAAACGCTATAGTTTTGATAGACACATTTAGTTTATACCTTTAACATTCATAGTAGTTATAGCACCTGCAGTTTCTGTAAATGGTATGTGAACTTTATTTAAATGATCATATGACTCAAAACTTGGCGATTAGAAAGAGTGGCGGAGTTTTTTGCCAATTCTTCTTGCCCGCTCTACGTCCTTGACTTGCGAACTGGTAGTAAATGTAAATTTAGAATCAATGTCATATCTTTTCTGCTGCCATTCATAAGGGTACTTATATGAATAAAGTTATTTTGAGATTGAGTTTGAAGTAATAAATAATAAATTAACTTTTAATGATTTTTAACTTGCATGCTAAATATAAGGAAATGTGCCTAAAGTAATGTAATATTTAGTCCCTATCTTAGGCTTTTAATTTTTTGCAGCTTTTCCTTCGACAAAGGCCTCCTCTAAATTTTTCTAATCGTTTCCTCTAGCGGTTCGAATCCACATTGGACCGCTACCTTTTTATTATCATTCTTTCATCTTCTTTTCTGCCTGCCTCTCTTTCTTGCCCCCTTGGTGAATAACACTCCGTAACGATTCTGTTTCATTTAATGTTATAAATAATGTATTTTGTATTTTTTCTAGTACTAGTAATGTAATCTTCAACAAATGACGCGGTCACTTTTACGTCAATACATTAGCGTATGTCTTGGTTAATGATGTTATAAAGCAGTCTAACTTCATGTCACTTAATATATAATTAAACAAACCGCCGCCTTATCTAGTTATGGCTAAGAAATTCTGAGTTCGATTTCCTGAAAGTAATGCTGTATGTTTGGTAGACAGAAATACCCAGAGGTTTCTGTGCAATTTTAGACCAAATACACTTTAATAAAAGTTTTTGTATTAATAAATGGGTAAAATAGCTATCTACTTCGTAACTCGCTTTTCCCGGTTCATTAAGCAAAGTTAAGAACAATATAGGCGCAGTCGAGCTGCAAACAATATTCCTATTCAATTTGCTTCAATACAAACTCTCAAGGGCAGGTGTTGTGGGAGGGAGCGAAGCCTTCTTCCGCCACGTGACCTTATGACTTCCGGCGAGAAATCGACGAGCGTTATATTTCTTAGCTGTTCGACTTTTGACTAACCCGATATGGGTTATGGCGTCACCTACATGTTTATTAATAACTTTTTTTGAACTTTTTTTTGTTTATATAACAAATAACAGGGTGCAAACGGGCAACCCATCTGATGTTAAGTGATACATGAACATTGCCAAAAGGCTTGAAATTGCGTTGCCGGGGTTTTAAGAATTGTTACGCTACTGATATAACGCATAAAAGCACCTTGTCTATCGACATAAGAATCCTCCATTGATCTTAATATTTAGTTGTTCCCAAATTCTGCCAATACTTGATTTTTATTAATCATTAAAAGAAATACGCCAAAATCACAGTGTGGTGGAAACACAAACTGTACACAGTTTTTCTGTCCACCAGGATGGATTTAAATAATTACCAAATATACTAAGGCCAACGACATACACATCATACAATTATATCCTTAATGGCCTACAACTAATGTTACAAATGAAATGTTAATAATAGTTAAATAATTGTTTAACTCTGTGATGGCCACTAATGGCTGTATTTTCTATCTCAGTTTCACAATTGATGTGACCCCGTTAATCACAGAAGATGCAGCAGAACGGCTTTGTGGTTATTTATTTAAATAAAAAGCTTGCCAACGCTCGGCACACTGATATCAGAAGAATAAATTATAACTTTTAATGTTACAAGCACTTATAGGCAAACATTACACACATGAAGAGATTATAAAAACTTCGACAATCGATTTTAAAGTGTGAGGGGAGTCACTATGGAAGACCCAGCTCGTTTATCAGAATGCTCAATCTGGACATCGGTGAGTTTCAGGATGGTACACGAAATTTAAATTTTGTTAAAAGGTTGGGGCAATCAACCTCATTGTTAAGTAGCTTAAATACAAACGATACATCAATTAATTTTCTACGAATCTCAACAACAACATCTTAAAGTTCGCTAGCCTGGTTTCGTATGTTGGCAACTTTTCGAGATGCCACTGGAGAAAAGTAGATGCACAGTAATCTTTTTTGTAAGCACTCCAGTCGCAACATATGCGTCGCATAATGATTATGTTTACAAATTCAACATTTAGTTATTCAACAGATTCACCTTGCCCACTACTACCTTTTATGGTTCGCTGAACAGTTATCTGATATGGCAGTTATTTGAGCTAACTCGATTTGGCTTTGACATTGCACTGTCCTTATTTGAACTTCCTTACATACGGAATTGAACTAAAATGGATGAAATATCATGTTGATATTTCCAAGTTGTCACGTTGTGGAAGAGAGAAGTAGAATAAATAAAACACTGTTTTTGACTATGTATACTACTTCCAAAAGTAATAAACGGAAAATATCTCTTGCATCGAGAAAGTTACGGCATTTAATCATAATTTACAATTAGCTGCTGGCCTGTTAAAATCTTTACAACATTTTTACTGTACCACTCAAGAGGGTTGGAATTAAGGGTGTGTAGGTTTTTAGTAGCTGCAGCTGAGTTTCTTCATCAGACTTTGAGGCAGAAAACGAAACCCACCCGTATCACCATCTGTCGTAAAGTATTTCGAAACCAATTCGATGTAGGGTCCTGCCAATACCAATTCTTAACGCCGGCAACGCACTCGCGAGCCCTCTGGCATTGAGACTGAGCCTCCCGCTCGTTTGTTTTATATAAAAAACATTTTTGATGAGCGTAATAGTTTGAATATACCAAGCAATCAAGTTAAGAATTGCAAGGATTCTACTTCTAAGTTACAACAGCGTTTATTGGTCTTTATAAGTTATAAGTGTGAGCGCAACAAGGAAGAGTTATTCTTAGAACGCATGTAATAGCAAGATATTTTATCGTTGTTGTTACTGTATGCCCTTAGTATAAAGAATACGAAAATCTGATAGTTAGGCTATAGAAGAGTAACAATCAATTTTAATATCTCCTTGAGCTGCGTTCCGTGGGCGAAAACGAAACCATTAATTTACATCACACGGATACAATTCGTGCAACTATAGAAACTGAAAACAATGTGATTTATTTTTGTGCTTCAAAAGCACTATCGAAAAATACTTAATTAACCTTGCGAAGGTTGTGGTAACGATTCCAGACTTGTAGGAAGATGTAATCGTGTAGAAATGTATACGTCGCCTACGTCTGCTCCTGTGGAATAATTGGCCACTCTTGATAATGTAAAAATTTATATTAAGTTACTTGAAAAACACACAATACTATTTAATTTGAGTTTACACCTTTTAAGAACATAAAGAAATCCCATTTGTAAAACGTCAAGGAGAGGACTTCATATCATATCTCCTGTTTCAGAGAAAGGCAGATATATTGGGTCACCGTGTGAGTTCACGTGCAACTCCGACCTTGTGCACGTGTACTGCGAGCCAAGAACCAGTACTTGTCAGTGTGCACCAAAACACTCAGTCCAACTCGGAGTGGCCAGAGGCTGTGCTAAACGTTTGTATAAAAACAAGTATTATTATGAAGCAAAGGTTTTTGTTTAAAGAAAACAATAAACCATTAATTACGAATCACCACCCATAATTTCAACGGAGATTTTATTATCATAATTTTTTTACAATATTTTTATAAATTTTGGTACTTTAATTTTCAATTACATATCCCAAGTTTCATTGATGCGCCATTGTTAATTTTTTCATAGATTATTATTTATTAATGGCTACAACACCAACTCATGACAAGATAAAGTAATGTACATACATAATTATGTATTGAAATTTGAAACATTCGGATTTTAATCATCTTAATTATGCTACTATTATTAAGATACAAACTCTTACAAATTGGATTTTAAAAGACAAGATAAATTCTGTAACTTCAGATTCGGATAATTGACATATGTAATTAGACATTGACATAACATTTATTACTAACAAAACACACACACACAGAAACACACTAAACAACAATAATCAAAAAAAAAAAAAGGTAACAATATTTTTTCTTTTAAAGAACAAAGTAGGTACGTTTTAAGTGTGTAAATGTAATTAAATGCTCATTAGATAATATTAATTCCCAAATCATTAATTATCACACACGAGTATAACTATTTATGATTTAGCCAAGAAGCTGGGAGAGCAATGCTTTTACCGGGAGACATGTCGTGCCTTCGACCCGCACTCGTCATGTGTCCAGGTCAACCACAATGCGTACTGCCAATGTGATACTGGATATCACACCACCAGCCACTCCCGTCCCACGCTACGGGTCTTCTGCACTGAAGGTAACATCACTTCAACAAATCAAACAATTTAAATAGAAGCACGCTGGAGTTTCACTGCTTCGTTGTCGACATCCCCAGGTGTCGTTTATTATCAAAACAGCAATGGAGAGGAACTCCTTGTCGATAATTTCTATAAATTAACCTACATTTCCTATGTTTAGAACATTTTAAATATTAGAGTTAACTAATATCAATGATACTTTTTAATTAAATTAGAATCCACAGATATATTATATTTTGGGACAAAACTCTTAAAACAATAGAGAATACATAATATTAGAACGTACTAAAGACGTTTTGCAATGTAAAGAGAACGATTAGTACAAAATCTTAGTATGATTAGTACTGATATGCACGGTAGATCTTAAATTAGCTACATACAAAAGTATTTATGAATTCAAACATATCGAATGTTAATATGAACACTTCAGACCTGGTTCTGCTGACGGCGGACCTGCCGACGCTGCTGGGGGTTGCGTCGGGAATCTTCGTGCTGGCCGGCCTGCTGTGCTTCGTGCTGCATCTCTACACCAAGGCGCGATACCACCCCGCGCATCTGGCGGACGCGAGGCTTACCCCGCCCTGTCTATACTCACTTAATGATACGGGTAACCAATTTTATAAATGATAAGTACCTGAATACACAAGGATTACTCAAAGGAAGTAAACAAATGACTCAACTCAAAATAACTGTATTCATATAGGTAAACAAGTACACTTATGAACGTCAAAAAAGAACTTAAATTGTAAATACAATTCGAATACAATTTCCATATAAGGAGTGGTTTATCTTCTGGAGCCTGGTTGACATCTAGAACTGAAAATTATTATCTAACAATGTTGTCATCAATACACTTAAATATCATGCCAATACTGGGTTTTAGTTCTTCAATAACAGGACTATATGTTAGCCTAGTGCAGATTCCCGGCGAAGCAATAATTGTATCGAGATGATAAGAAGGAAAAGCAGACTTAGGAATAAGCCACGCTAAGGGATTATGGGATACACACAGCTTTTGCATTTGACCTACAGGCGGCACGCTGAGCGCAACTCGCGCTTCTTCCCGGGCATCCTCTCGCAGCGGCTGCACCAGCGGGACTCTCGAGCTCGAGGGAAGTTCCCGTCGAGAGTCCCGCCGAGCGGCGTCATCCCGCGCAGGTGCGGCGCGCACGGCGGCCATCTTGTTAATCTCGCGCCACCTCAAGGCCGTAAGGGACGGCGGCGCGCACCCGCCTAAGTGCGCCGCCAAAGGTGATCCGGATGATGTATGCGGCCCCTTATTGCACGATCTCGTGGGTGCCCCTCGTTCCCCGCGTACCTGGCTGTGCTTGTTGTTAGGACCGGGTTTTCCAATAACCGACCTGTCGCGTTTCAAAGTAACTTTACCCATGGCATTTATCGGATATGGGTGATGTGAGATTGAGTCTAAGTCATTAGCAATACAGGTCTTAATCTGCGTGTTTCACTTACCTGATTAACAAAGACTAGTATTAACTTTTCTTTCGTACAGTTGAAGTAGCATTAATCGAACGATTGCCAATATGAATTACAGCACTCCTAAAATAATGTTTTAAAAAAGAACGCCGAACTTCCAATTTTCTCCTAATTTATTGAATTTCTGTAAGATACGAGAAATATCGTATTATTACTACAAGGTTTTTGGCACCACCTAGCAAGAGATGATACAGGCGTATCATTATATCGTAATCCGGGTTTCATTTTTAGTATAATCTATCAATCTATTTATATGATTGTAGACGGAATAAATTTAGATCTTCATGGTTATATTAAAACTCTGGAATTAGAACAGGAAACCATTAACAATACTATATTTATATTGGCTTCCCATCTGATTTATCTGGTCATATTTTAAAGAGATGATAGCCGTCTTTTGAAAGAAAGATGCGCTAAGCTATTTCTCCATTATCACCAAGTGGCGATGATGGAGCAATAGCTGGTGATAAACGGATAAATTTAAAGGCAGGTATTCGGGGGCGGAGTCTGTTGTCGCATGTGTTGTCCCAGGTCGCTCGTTAGATGTCGCGTCTTGGTGTTAGAAGCCTTCGTGTGTGTGTGTGACTTATCATAGTACGTGTACCTACTTAACTTCAAATGTATGTCCCGCTCAGGTTTCTCGAGGATTTTTTTTATGTTTATCAGCTTACTACCTATGTCTACTTAACTACAGATTCACTATCACGACTACGGTTGCCAGTTTTTTTGCAAATAAAGAATCTTCATTGGTTAAAAAAAAAAGTACATAGTATCAAAGTAAAGTTTAATTTATTTTCCTATCTATATTTAAAAATATATCTCGACTAAACAATCGCACGACATCTTTACAATCTATATTTAAACATCGATTCAGCGCTAATCGATAAATTCCGTTTAACGAAAAATATTTATGACTAAAGAAATCACATTACACAAAGTATTTTCGTGTACTTTATTGTAAAGTGTAGAGTACACTTACCTGAAATAACGTACAATACTTTATTATAAAGTACGGGTGGCAACATTAATCACGACATACCTATAAAAGTATACTCCTTTATACGAGTAGGCATCTCGTGTCCCAGACATGGTTTAGTATATTATATAAGAAGAAAACGTAAGTAAAATAAACTAAAATAAGAAGTTACGTACGTACGAAACTATTTTTATAAATATTAAAATGATAGTCACACAAATTGTCGTGGCGCGAGCAAGATGGCCCTGGATGTTTGTATCTTTCTGCTCTATCTTATAGCTTGTAAAAAGCCAGGAACTGAAGAGGTAGTGGTTTTCCTTTCAATGCAGCAAACAAAAGTAATCTTCGCAAAATATTACGCTTATTTTCAATAAAAATGCTTCTTTCTACTTCCTGGATGAAATGGCCTCTAGAAATTACGGAATTCCGTATTAATAACAGATCATGCTTCGCGAATGTCAACAATTAGCTACACACATTTATAATTCAGTTTCATATTATTTTTTTATACATATTTAAGAATCGCGTTGGCTTCAGCTTCTGTGATTTGTGAAGACCACGTGTGTCGCATGTAACCGTCGCTTTTATTACATAAGCAAAACATAGAATAAGCAATTTCAAGATACAATAACTTTTATTACTATTAAGTACGCTTCGAAAGAAGGACAGTTTCGCCAGATACATTAACATTTATTCTCGGTTTATACATTATTATTTTATACTATTAAGTTTCTTTATATTTTGTAAGTATTTTAAAGCATTAACTATGATAAATGTATTTCTACTATCATCGTTTTAGTTTTTTTATGTATCGTTTTAGTTAAATATGGGCGTAAACAATAGACTCGTATCTTGTCTTTGATCAATAAAGAAATATAAACAGTGTTAAATAACGTTATATTTAACACTTACAATTGTTTCTAGGTTCGCGACGTCCAAGTCTAAGTTCAGTTCAAAGTAGCTCATCGTCTATTAGGAGCTACAGCGCAAAAAGATGGGAAAGAGAAAGAGAACAAAAGGAACGAAGGCAGATGAGCATGCGTCTTGCTCAGCTGCACGACAAGATGGCGGCGGGACGAGAACTGCCAAAACACGCACCCACCCCTTCGCCTAGGTCTCCTAATAATTCTACCGATGGGCTTCTGCCAGCTGTGTGTGAAATTCGTGAAGTAGGTTAATTTTCCTCAGTCTTGCTATAACTTTCTGTTAACTGCCGGCAAGTACCGAAGTGTGTTCTTTGCTTTTTATGTAAGGAAATTCCTGTTCATAACAAAACTGTTAACATAAAAATAATCATATGTATTTTACCAAATACCTTACAGCTACAAAGTGCAGACCAGCTGCAAGGCGTGGATGGACCCTGCACTAGCACATCACTTTACTGACAGCAGGTTACTTCTAGCGCCATCAGATCCATGGACTCCTTATCATCAGACGGGACCCCTGCTGTAGCGTGGATGTAGTGATAGAAACTTTAGTATTAATTCGTTAACGGCTACACCGGATAAGCTCGATGGCTGAGTGAAGAAAGTCGATGTCTGTGCATTTTGACCGCTTTTATTATTTAAAGTGATCTGTGACTGAATTATAAGTGATGCAATCGGCATATATTTTTATGCCAGTTGAGCGCCTGTGACTCGTTTCGAATTTATTAAAATAACTGGATTTATATGGCGATTGATAGAGAGTGAAGACTTTTTTTACGCGGAAATTGTGATGCTAATGAGTGTTAATAGGTGAAGCACAATATCATTAAACCCCTGCCAGAAAAACACCATAGGTATAGATAGTTCTAGAAATGTATCTGTGACTTGTGAATTTTATAGTTGAGGTTAAAAATCTATAATTTTTTCCCCTAAATCATTAATAGTTTAGACAGTGATTTTGTGTTCATTCTGATGATCTATTTTGAATGAGGTCCTTAAAATATATTTTCTCCTTACATCAATTTAAGGAGCACAAGTCACAGATACAACGTCGTTAAATAATATTTTGTAGATAAATCGTACCGATTGTTCAAAGCTATAATTGACTACATAAGTAGTTAGGCATAATAAAATGTTTGTTATAATAATTTATATTTACACTTATTAACTTATGATTGTTAGATAAGGCTGGAGGAAGGATATAGGCTGTGTTTGATGGCTACTTAATTATCTGACTGTATTTCGGTGGAAGAATATTATATTTCAAAAATAGTTCTAAATAAAACGCACGAAAAAAATACATTATATCTTCCTAATTGTAGCAATAATTTTAATACAACAATAACAGAATTATAAATAATTATTAAACTTATCCATTTTTAAAACATTTACGCAATCACATTGAAGAGTTATGCATAGAAATACAATATCTCAGATTATTTCTATAATAAACTCGCTCAGACACGATTGAGAATAATTTTTCTTAGTACTTATCCATAACGCTATTTTGGAAGCCTGGTCAATATTAAAAATCTAAATTTTATAGAACATAGACGAGGAATTGATATTTGCAGGATTCGACTTAAATTTGGAAAATATACTTTCCCATTGAATAAATAAGCCCTAAATACAGATAAACCAACGACAGACGACAGGTAAATCGTTGACTCAAGACGACGGAGTAGGTAAATGCTAGCGGTTATACGAGAGTATGAAATTCGTTTTTAATTGCTAGCTTAGATAATTAAAAATGTATAAATAGTAAATACTAATATTTGTATATGAGAGCTTGTATTAACGCGATGTAAGACACTTGTTTAGTATTTCCAAATTGTTTACTGCCAAAATACTTGTTTTTATGTTCCATAATGTTCGATATGGCTATATTAAATCGAGGCCTCAAAGCGCCTGTAAATATTATTCTACGTATAGTACTTATTAAAGCAATGTACTAATCCTGAGCAATTGAAGGTTGGGTTTGGAATATACACATGAACAGAAATATATCTTTTACATGGCCTCTTGTGAGCTGGAGTACCTTCGTTTGTAGCCATATTCAACATTATTAGTGACATGAATCGTTTTTGTAGATTACATACTAGGTGTAATTTTTAAGAATAGTATTTTATTATTTTGTAAAGCACAAGAATGCGTACTTTTGCCAATGAAGCGAAGTTGTTAATTAATGATGGATTAGGTATTAATTGCTGTTTTAAAGATGAATATAAATTAACATGAAGTTTTATTACACCACCTTTTTTAGGCATTGCGTCAGTTTGAAATTCACCTACGCAGCAGTAACGAATTTATTAGCATACAAAAATTTAGCCTATATACATACATATATATATACTGCTCAAAACAAAGGGAACAATTTCTCCTTATACTTAAACTAAAATTAGATTTAAATTAACTTGTACGCTATTTTTACCTTGTTAATTTGTTAATTACTACAATTGAAAAAAAAATTCAATTTGTATCTTTTTATTAAAAAAATTAAAATGGAAGTAGACGAAAAACAAAGACGCTAACACTTATCACAGACAACACACTAGTTAATTATTTTTTTCAATCTTTTGAGTAATAATAGAAATTGAAGTGAGCCTTTTGAGTATTGTTATTCATTGAGCGAGTGAGTTTAGGTCATAATGCCAGATCTGACTGAATTGCATGTCTCCCGAGCTATCGCTTTGCTTGAAGAGGGTCGAACTATGCGTTATGTAGGAAATGATTAGGAGTAGCCCCTTCTGTTATCTACAGACTTTGGAAGCGATACCGTAAGACGGGAGAATACTCACGAAGGCATGGTAGGTCGAAAGAAAAACTACACGTTTGCAAGATCGCTACATCGTCACTGTGCTTTACGTAACCGCACCACAACTGCAAGAGTTCTACAAAATAACAAGGACGGCTACTGGTGTAGAAATTTCCGACCAGACGGTAAGAAATAGGATGTTGGAAGCCAATTTGAGATAGCCGAAAGTTGGGGCTGTGCGTCTAACAATTCAACATGGACAAGCTCGCCGACAGTTCGGAAAATCACGCTAATTGGCAATTGAGGCCAGTGCTTTTACTGACGAATCACGATTCCGTCTAACACGTTGCGATGGTCGTCTCCGTGTTTACAGACGCCCAGGCGAGCGATACAGTGCAGCAGCAGTCCAGGAATATGACAAATTTGGATGTGGCTCTGTGATGGTTTGGGGGGGCGGAGTTGAGTTTGGACCCACAGATCTCGTCGTGTTGGGCGCTTGTGTGCTCAAACTTAATTGAAAATGTGTGAAGATAGTTGAGAATGGTATGGCCAGATTTCTTTTAATCAAGATAATGCCAGGCCGCATATAGCCATAGTCAGATTACTTAAAAGGAAATCGTGTATGGAGTGGCTTCCATCCTGACCTAAATAATTGAAAATTTGGGATGTTGACAGGATGGAGGTATTGACTAAAATCCACTTGGGTTTTAAATGGGACGAATTAAAAAATATAATGGTGTAAAAATGCTTCAAATACACATGTATTTTGATGATAACCAACATTAAATAAGAATATATTATTTACTTTGTTACCAAAAACCTTTATAAGCAATGCAAGACCCTACATAAATTAGTTTAATTCTTAATACTAACCCATATTTTTCATTCAATAATATAATTTTATCACCTGCGTTAAAAACTTATCAGGTATTTTATTCAGCTTTTTATGGGTTTAATTTAAACAAAAAATCAGTTGCATTCATTTATTAATTGAGAGGATTACATCGAGAAGATCTTACAATGTGAAAAGTGGAATGTATAATTCAAATAGTTTAATCAACCTCTTCGATGGTGGGTCCGGATCCGCCACCAGGAGCTGCTCCGCCGGCTCCAGGCGCTCCGCCAGGGAAGCCTGGCATACCACCAGGCATGCCTCCGGGGGCTCCACCCGCACCCTGGTAAAGCTTGGTTATAATCGGGTTGCACACACCCTCCAGTTCCTTCTGCTTGTGCTCATATTCTTCCTTGTCAGCCAGCTGGTTAGCGTCTAACCATTTGATGGTGTCGTTGCATTTGTCCAAAATGATTTGCTTGTCGGAGTCTGTGATTTTGTCCTTAAGCTTCTCATCCTCCATGGTAGACTTCATGTTGAAACAGTAAGATTCGAGCGCGTTCTTAGCCTGAATGGTTTCCTTCTGTTTCTCATCTTCATTCCTGTATTTCTCAGCGTCGTTGACCATACGCTCGATCTCTTCTTTGGACAGACGACCCTTGTCATTGGTGATCGTGATCTTGTTCTCCTTGTTGGTAGATTTTTCGACAGCCGATACGTTAAGGATACCGTTGGCGTCAATGTCGAAAGTAACTTCGATTTGTGGGACACCACGGGGCGCTGGAGGAATACCAGTGAGCTCAAATTTACCGAGAAGGTTGTTGTCTCGGGTCATGGCACGCTCACCCTCAAATACTTGAATAAGCACACCGGGTTGGTTGTCGGAATAGGTCGTGAAAGTCTGGGTTTGCTTGGTGGGGATGGTCGTGTTACGCTTAATCAAGGTGGTCATGACACCGCCTGCAGTCTCGATACCAAGGGACAGCGGGGTCACATCCAACAGGAGCAAATCCTGTACCTCTTCAGACTTATCACCGTGCAAGATGGCGGCCTGAACGGCCGCTCCGTAGGCTACGGCCTCGTCAGGGTTGATGGACTTGTTCAACTCCTTGCCGTTGAAGAAGTCTTGAAGGAGCTTCTGCACTCTTGGGATACGAGTGGAACCTCCGACGAGGACAATGTCGTGCACTTGCGCCTTGTCCATCTTTGCGTCACGGAGGGACTTCTCTACTGGCTCCATGGTAGATCTAAATAAGTCTGCATTTAGTTCTTCGAAACGCGCCCGGGTGATGGATGTGTAGTAATCGATACCCTCAAACAGAGAGTCGATTTCAATGCTAGCCTGTGTCGACGAGGAAAGAGTCCTCTTCGCGCGCTCACAAGCTGTCCTCAACCTACGCAGGGCCCTCTTGTGGGAGGAAATGTCCTTTTTGTACTTCCGCTTGAACTCCTGTACAAAGTGGTTGACCATGCGGTTGTCAAAGTCCTCACCTCCCAAGTGAGTGTCTCCAGCAGTGGACTTTACTTCAAAGATACCATCCTCGATGGTCAGGATGGATACATCGAAAGTACCACCGCCAAGATCGAAAATAAGGACGTTACGTTCTCCACCTCCTTTCTTGTCAAGACCATATGCAATCGCAGCAGCAGTTGGTTCATTGATGATTCGGAGAACGTTCAGACCAGAGATTGTACCAGAATCTTTTGTGGCCTGTCTTTGGGAGTCATTAAAGTATGCTGGCACTGTAATTACTGCATTCTGCACCGTTTTGCCAAGGTAAACTTCAGCTGTTTCTTTCATTTTTGTTAATACCATTGAACTGACTTCCTCTGGGAAGAATGTTTTGTCTTCACCCTTGTATGCAACCTTGATCTTTGGTTTTCCACCATCACTGATTACCTCAAAGGGCCAGTGTTTCATGTCAGCCTGAACTGTGGCATCTTCGAACTTACGCCCAATGAGACGTTTGGCATCTGCAACAAGGAAAAGAATGATATAGAATGGAACTGTTTGAATACACTAATTAGTAACAATATTTTGTATTACATCAGATTATTTTTATCATTCAATATTTTCAGAGACTCTAGTCTAGTATATTGGGTATCATCATAAATGTTCTTTATTAAGGAATTTTTTGTAGTTCAAAACTGAAGGCGAAGAAATATAATTATTTGTCCATTTTAATTTAATTTTATTAACATAATTCAATGTCATCCATTAATTAAAAATAATAACTAGTGAAACAGCAATGAGAAAAAACCACGTGTTCTATAATTGAAAGTGTGGTGAATACGCCGCTACCCGTGTAGAACTTGACAAAAAATTATAACCTATAAATCTTAACTCACCAAAGATGGTGTTGTTTGGGTTCAGGGCCACCTGGTTCTTGGCGGCATCTCCGATGAGACGTTCAGTGTCTGTGAAGGCAACATATGAAGGTGTAGTCCTGTTGCCCTGATCGTTGGCGATGATCTCCACCTTACCGTACTGGAACACGCCCACGCACGAGTATGTGGTACCCAAGTCAATACCTACCGCTGGTGTTTTAGTAGTCATCTAGAACAAAAGAATTCTCCAGTAAGTTACGTCATAACTGCAATAACGCCGGCCATAACAAAAAATCGATAAGATGCGAAGGTTCCAGAATGCAAGGTTGTAATCAGATAATACAATTAACAAATAACCACTTAGGAGCACAAAACCTTTAAACAAGGTCATATAATAAGCACAAAGGCGTCATACATAGAAAAAAAAACACGTGGAAGATAGAAATTAAACACCACGCTACAGAGTTATATCGCAAGTTATTTATAATCTCAATTTTTAATATGAAATTACATTCAACTCAAGCACGATAGGGTATCGAAAATTAATAGAAAAAATGAGTCATCAAAACTATGGAGTGGCATGGTACTTCCGCTGGAATTTTATCAGTCAGGAAAGGTTCTAAATTAATTCAGAATAAATTATAAAACTACGAAATCTACAACTATTGATTTCAAAAGGGAAATTAATTTGTACTTACTGCGTATAGTTTGTTTCTATCACTTCAAAAGAATTATCAAGCAAGATCTCTCAGCAAACGTGCGCGATTGTCGGCCTCTTTTCTTGAAATAAGATGGCGTTCAACGTTGACCAAGTATTTTATATCCCTGCGCGTAATCACTCGACGTCACTGGGATTTTCTGGAATATTCCTTAGAATACACCAATCAACACACAGGACCATCGGCGCCATGCAATTTCATTGGCTATCAAATAGCGTTGTCACTTTAGCCAACATTAAGGTATAAAACTTTGTGAGGCAATAATGATGTCTGTATTAACATCGATATAATATTTCGTTTTACTAATGTAGGACTAGGTACAATACCTAGAGACGATGAGAACGTGGATCACGTGGTCGTTCACCAACCAGATGTAGCTGATGTACCGATCAAGTGAAATGCTCATCGTACTGAAAACTGTACACTGTCATAAAAGTGGCGCTGCACAGAAACTGGTAAAAACAGATAGTCCGCTCCAGATGATGACCACGACGCTCAGACATGAGCTGCCGATTAAAGAGAGAGATTTCGTTTTAACAATTTTAAATATGGAGTTTCTCGTTAAAATAAACCAGCATACAAAAATGTATGAAGGAGTTGCCTTTATAAACTGCACACTTATGAATGTCTGAATGAATATAAAAAAATTTAAGGTTCTAAATTTACAGAAAGAGTCAATGTGAGTATTCGATATAAAAATAAGATTATATAATAAAAAGTATTAATGGCTATTCAAATATTTAGTAAGATTTGGATCTGTCTACAATTTATTTCAATTGTTATTTAAGTAATAAACGTAAAGTAAATAAACGTTAATAAGTAAAAGTACAAATTATTTATCGATAAAGATTGTATATCACTATAGCTTAACAGACCTTTAAAATATTATAGTCTGTCATAAATATTTTGAACGCGGCAACTTCAAACTTGAAAATACATGTAATAATATTGAGTAAATGAAATGTCTAAAATATCAAAATGCTCAATTTGATATTGTTTTGTTAACTTAAGGACTTAGGGTATCATTTAATTCTAAGCTTTACGTATTATCTAAAAGATATAGATTTATAAGACCCGTTTCGAAATTGGGTCACTGCACGTGCGTCCTACAGCAAATCGATATCGTTCATGTCATGCATTATGACTCAGTTATTTAAGACTCGCATTTATGTTAAAGCTATGTTGATATGATATTTACGAACACAGCTTTGAATCCTGTAAAAAACAATCGTAATAATTTACTTTCTATAGACAAATATTTTATTAATGGAAGCCATGAATTTAGAATAGTCATGTAATATACCAACATGGATATAAATAGTTTGTAGTTTTATTTTAATAGTACATATATATATATATATATATCTATAGATAGATTTAGAATAACCACCAATACATATATATGTTGCTTGTAATCTAATATGGTTTAACGAAGATTGGATATTATTTAATTAAATGTTATTAATATTTATATATAAATTTTATTACAATGGGCTATTAAAAATTCTAAGGACCACTATATTAGGTACCACATTTCTCAAAAATGCCAGGACAAACAAAAACTAAGTTAAACATTAAAAATCTTTATTTAAACAATCCAGTATAAATATTTTAAACTATTACTAACAGTAGTACACATTTAATTAAAACTTAAAGCGATATGTCGATGAAAGTATGCATTCGAATAATACTGGCGGCGTAAGGGACCAACCTAAATTAATCTACATCCAAATTTTTAATAAGAATATTATCATAAATGAGTTATGAATATTATCATAAATGGATCAATCTCATATGTGAATAAATGTAGTCTATTAAATTTCTTGATAAGATTCTGGGACAGAACATTCTTTAAGTACTTTAATACATAAAATATGTTGCAATTTCAAAATTGTTTTTAGACAGCAACATCTCTTTGACTATGTTTAATTCCAGGCATAACCAATTGTTTGTCTTGACCGGACTGATCAGCTTTTTATTTTAAAAACGTTCACATATTAAAACACTTAACTTACCCAGAATAGCAAATAAACTTTTATAAATATAGTTGATAGACAATATAAATAAAAGACATCATTGTGTAATAGGCTTTTTAGACAATAACAACCAGTTCACATCTTTAGGTAATTAAGTAAACAAACATAAAACGCATACCCAAAAACTCAACACTATTAAAATAAATAAAATATAAAAACAACACTTCACTTACAAAACTAATTTGTATCGGATTTTGACATTCCAAATAGATTAGCCGTGCCTTTCTTGAGTTCCACAAATTAAACTGCCAAACATTAATATAAAAGTTAGGAGTTAAGAAACATGACACATTATTGTACACACCTATAAATATATTCATAAAAAATAATTCAGACTAATTACAGAAATTTGGCTGAAGTACTCATTCGTCTCCATCTATCCAATTCTCTAACCTAATATAAAACCTATTTATTTTTTATGAACATTTTTGTGGATAAATTTTTCTAAAGCGCACTTATACAACTAGCTTTGTTTATAAAATCTCATGAGATTCTAAAGTAACTCTGATACATGGCCCCGAGTGACGTGGAGATAAACCACGCGAAGCAGCACCACCAGGTGCTGAAGCCTAGTACTCCACGGTACACTTCTGTTGTGAATATCTGAAACAAAACTTATGTAAACATAAGGCCAGCGACACACTCGCGGACCAATAGAGTGCTTCAGATAATAAGTTCATCCCAGCCTGATGTCTAGGGAACGTATGGGATTAAGATTGGTACGTTAAAACCTAAAATAACCTAATTTCATTGTGAAAATTTACATCTAACTCATATTACATCCTACATATCATAAAATGGCCAACCCTTGATTAAAAAATATAATATGAAAACATTTGAAAATTTAAAGACATGAAAATACATTTCATGAACTGATAAATTCTATCATCAGTTTATAAAGCAAACTCCCTCGTTAGTAACAAATATCAGATAAAACGTGCATACTTGTATTTTCTTGGGGTTACATTGTGCTAAATCAAGTCCCTAGTAAGAGACTCCAAGTAACAGAGTTTAAATTTCAGACACAAGTTTGTTATGGTACTGATCAACTACTGCCCAAGAAATACCTGCACGACCAGTGTAAAGAGTATCTCCAGTGCTATCATCCGCACAGCCACGAACGTTTCTAAGATGATGCACAAGAAACAGTCGTGAATAGGACACACCTTTGTGGTGACTTATTCCATTGAATTCTTACAACAACATACAAGGTTAAGGTAATAAGTCAACTTTCTTTTGAAAAATATGCCTAAGAAATTAAATTTTAGGAAATAATGTACTTTACTTGCTATAGGTACCTATTTCCTTTCTTATTTTTACCCACTACCGGTACGCACAACGGACCAACCACGAGTCTAATTGCGGAGAAAGGAGTCCTTCTACCCACTACCGCTCGTGGCCTATTAACTTATGTGTCTTCGGTAACAGAGTGTAAGTAAATAAATATGTATTTATTATATATTTATTTACTCACACTTTGTTCAGTTGACAGGTTGGTGATGGAATGAGTATTTCAACAAACCATTTTTAAATTCTCCCATGCCATTTGAAATTGCTCCATACTATCGCTAGGCATTGTCCGGACTACCGGGTCTAAGTCCATCCCAGTCCACGTGAACCCACCCAGTGTTTTATACATCAGGGCAAGGTTGGCACACATCACCACGGGGCACAGATATTGGAGGGCCACTACACATAAATAGTAGAACACTGATGCAATCTGAAATATTAAAATTATTAATAATTAAGAGGCTTTTTTGCATACTCAAGATATACTGAACTTAAATAAAAAGGGCATCGGTATTAAAAAGCTATCTTTTCCATGCAATCTTAGCTAGAAAAAAAGGGCAACATGTAAAAATTGCTGAATTATATTGATAAAAAAGTTAAATAAATAATATAACAACAAAATATTACTAACTATTTATTCAGCATCTTAGAGTTCATGCTTATAAAACTTGTTTAAAAATATCTTGATAATGTAGAACAGTCCTACACTTAAATCAAAGATAATAAAAAGTTTTATGTTTAAATAAATAAAAAAAATTTGGTAAAGTTATAATTTCCTGTTACAATAAAACAGAGTTTAATTTTATACCTTCTTCTGAAGCTCTATGTTAGTGATACGTCCGGCCTCCTTCTTCTGAGCGTCAAGTTTTCTCTGCGCCATATCTAAGTAAGCCTGGAGCTGACGCGGCATCAGAATTACTCGGAGTACCATTGTGATGATGACCAGAATCAGACGCATGGAGTCGAATTGAGCAGATGTCATGCTGGAAATTGTTTATAATAGATTATTTGACTGTAATATTGTAATTGAAATCAAGGCAAAATTTTACTTAGTTTTCTAAATCGGACCTGAACATATTTATTTTTTATTTTTTAAAAAGCTGGTCTAGTTTATCTTCTAAACATGTAACTAAAAAACTTAATTTACATGTTTTAAAAAGTACTTACAGCGGTTCAGTCATGCCACTGAACACACGGACAGTTAAATAGTGCCGAGTAACAGGTCTCACCCACATAAGAGCAAGGATAAATGGCATCGCAAAGTTTACATTTAAAAGCAGGGCAGCCACTTTATTATCTCCATAAACCCTATAAATAAGATACACTTTATTAATATTTAAAACTAAACTGTTAAACAAAACAGAAAAATAAACATTTAAACCACTGTCCTTTCACATATACTTCCCAGACTTATTTAAGTTACAGATAGCTCATACTATATCTATTATTTCTAATTTATATTTTATTTTTTTACTGTTTAAAACTCCTTTACAACTTTGTACCATAGCTAAATAACAATCTAGTTATTATTATAAAAGAAAACCCCAAGTATTTTAGTGGATAATGTGTAAATGTATATGGCACATGTGTTTGTGTGTGTACAAAATATATAAAAAAATTAAAAGAGTGATAATTAAGATGAAACTAGAATCACCTTATTGAATCCCAATTCATTCTGGCAACTCTTAAGCCAGGAAATGTAAATAGAGTACCAATAAGGGCAGCCCAAATTGCCAATGATAACTTTAAAATTAGTTTTGATGCTGGACCACTGAAATTGAAAAAAAACTAAGTAAAATAATGTTTCAATTGGTACATTGCATTAAATTATAGAAACATCTACACTTCATGTGTATTAATACTTATAGGCTAAAATGTTCAATAAGTAAGGATGGAAGACTGAAACAGAAACAGAGATTTACAGAAGTTAAAACAATCAACTAATAATGTATATACAAATATAAATAAAATCTTACACAGAACTTAGCCCTTGGTTCTCCAGGAATTTTGAAGCATTTTCATAAAAGCTATCATAAGCTGGATCAACACCAACCTCTAAATTGCTCTCATCCACAATCAGCACCATCATAGCAACAAGAAGGAATACACAGAAAGCTACAATGCATATAGACCTTTCACTGATAGACTCATCACTAGTGAAGTACTGTTTAGTCAGTGATAGTAATATTTTACTGTATATTCATTAAGGATGGGTATAAAAAGACTTTGTATAAGCTTAACAAGTATTGGTAAATGCTAGAAGGTTATGGCCATTTGTCACCAAAATGCACTAGGTAAGTAGCAAAATTCTTACCATATCACTCTGATATGTAAAACTAAATTTCTTTTTAAGGTTTTAGAATTATAGATGTCGAATTAAAAGGATACAATGAAAAGAGGACCACCAAGAGGCACCACACCATACTCAAATTAAATTCATCTTTAAGGTGAAATATCCAGGTGTAAATCTAAAAATAAAAGTCATTATTAGAGTACATAGCTTAGTAATACTCATGAAATGATATAAATTGTTCACCTCTGACATTATATAAACTATGCTAGAATATAATGAAAAATCCACTATCCAAATATAGTCTGTATAGAACCGGAGATGTACAAGGTCTAATGCTGTTACTGGAGCTGTCTCCAACTGTATATCTAAGCTTCTAGGAACATGAAATGTTTCAGGTTTTCCATTTAGTTCATTTTTACCACCCTTCTTGGCTTTTGGTTTTTCTTTTGGAACTCCCGCCAAACTCTTTAATTCACTATTATCAGGATACAGGTATCGATATAAACCTTGCGAACATAATAGCCATCTTGCAAAGGAATAATTGCCAAGCTTTTGTATGATTGAAACCATTATAAGTGTTATAACGAGTTGAGCTCCTAGGAGCGCCTGAAAATAGAAAAATTTCATAATAACATGAATTAAAAGAAATTTTACATCAATATAAAAACACGCAACGAACCATGATGATCCTATATTAAAGTTCACTTATTTCTCCTAAATACATAATTTAAGTTCTAAATTAATATAATCCGGTCCGAGGCTAACCTAAATTAATAAATTGATAATTCTCTGGAATAAAAATATACATGCAGATTACAGAGTACAGATTTCTATAGACTATAGTATTGTAAATGTAGGCTAAGATTTTGAAACGAGACTTAGCACGAACTTGACTCCCGTACGACAAAAGGGTATACGTTTTTGACATACGGGACTCACACCTAGCGCTGTCTCAGTTATTAAGTTAAGTTAAATTTGAGAATAGTAGTTTTTGAAGTTATACTTCTTTAGGCGCGTTATGAAAAATTGATGAGAGTGAAATTTTACGATGCGCGCGCACCGTGACACAAAATTAACAGAATGAAGTTGCCCACGGAAGATGCTTAATGCTTGGACATAATTTAAAAACAACATTCGAATAATAATAGAATTTATGTTACACTTAATAATAAGAGAATAATAATATTTATTTATTTATTTAATTTTTCAAACGTAAACTGAAGTTTATTGACTTAATGACTCCTTTTCCAGTCTTTGATTATTTAATTGTAATTAATTATTTGCATGCAATCAAAAACTATTTTTAATAATGCCAAAGAAGTATAAATTCTTACGCGCGTACATACGTACACGGACCCTTTTTTTCTATCACTTTAAGTCAATAAAACAGATTAGCATCCAGACTTACATTGTGCGTTTTCCAATTACAGAGCATTTTTCGACTCAGTGCCGCACAATGCCGCATAATGCTGAAGCTTAATTGGAACGTGAATTAGTTTTCAAATGATAAGAGTGCGAAGTAGTGTTGACAAAAAAATGGTCTGAATAGAGTTATATAGCAACCTCATTAATGTATAAATAATGTGGTAAACAATAATAATTGGTTGAAAACTTTTACGCTTAATTTAATAATCAAATTATTTCATTAAATTTTTTTTACTGAAATAAGAGAAAACCTTTAAAGAATATAAGGTTTTAAAAAGCTAAATTAACAGTAAAATATTTAGTTTCATGTAAGAAGTTTACATATTTAGTTTTGAGTAATATTTTTTAATGATTTCTAAAAAAATATATACTTTTTCAAAACCATTCAATTTTTTCTAAAGTATAATCCTGTAAAGTAAATTTGTTTAAGATCCGAATTTTAAAATAAAATTGTATCATATTTTAAATGTGGAATATAAAAAAGTAACTATTTATACCTTCATCCATACTAATATTTATTTTTTTAGCAGTTTGAAATAACTTTAATTATTTTCAAAATCTAGACGAAACGAAAGCCTTACAAATTTTTCAACAATAAATAATATTTACTAACGAAAATTTGATAAATGCCAACTTAAAGAAAAATACTGGTACTCTCAACAACACAATTGAGATTATGCGCAAAATGGCTAGTGTAATGGTACGACTAGATAACGACTGGGAGGGTGAAAATCAAAAAAGGGAACTTACCGTTGAGTCTTATTCCCGTCAAAAATGTATTAGATTTTGACTGATCATGGTATGGGCTCGCTGTATATAGGTGAAAGAAAACTTGATTGAATTGATCATCTCCTCCCTTCATATTTTTTATGCCGGTGTGAAATGATAGTTAATCAAAAACTCTCAGGTCATAAAGAAAAAAATTAAAGTAAAGTAGTATATTAAGGTATTTGTGGTCTTAGAGATTTATTCCCCTTGCATACATAATTTTTAGGTCATATGAAGGTACAATTTAAATTAAAACTTTAAGATAACATTTTATCACTAATTCATAATTTAAATGTTCATACATATGTTTATACTTCAGTTAAAATTTAATTGTTAATTAGTTTATAAGGATAAGAATTGGAAATAAAAACATAGCTCTAAGTTTCGTTAGTCATAAACGTATTGGATTTTAATTTACGGGGTTCATAGTTTTTCTTAATCTCGCCTATAGAGTAGGCACAGGGTATTTATTACACAGAAAATTGGCAACACTGCGGCAACTGCGTTTTTTCCTTGCGCAGTGCGCACGTATTAGTACAGAGTAACACATTTTTAATAGGCTTGATTACGGAGTGGCGACTGGCGAGGGTCTATTGATTTCTTATTTAATTTGGTTTCGTCGCTCGTGAAATCCGTTCGCACACGGATGCGGCGAAGCCTTATCTGTTATTTTATACTTTTGTGTGCAGTGTCGTAAGAAATCCGTAAAAATGGGTTCGTTGTTTCGTAGTGAGGAAATGACTTTATGTCAGCTCTTCCTGCAAAGTGAAGCCGCTTATGCATGCGTGTCGGAGTTAGGGGAACTTGGACTTGTACAATTTCGCGACGTAAGTAAACGATCATTATAAGAATTTAGACAAGAGTTAAAATGTTCCGTTTTTCATTATACGCTGACCTGATTACATATGGGTTTCCATTTCGTGAAACGCCCTCGATTGAACAGCATATTTTCATTCGACACCTACATATTATATTTATATGTTTCATATCCGTTGTTCCTATAACGATTGCAGGGCTGTCTGGCAGTATATGTAACAACTTGGATAATATTAACTAACGTAGTATTTTCTAAATATCGTAAATATTAGAAAGCCATTTAGATCTTACTATAAAATATTTAGTGTTGTACAATGGTAAATCAATGTGATTGAGTATATTAACAATAATTTGAAATATAAAAATTTGTTTGCATGTGTTCAGTGGAAATGTCTTTGAAAAAATTCCTTTATCAATAATTGATGCAATTAATTTTTGTTACTTAAACACTTGCTAAAAAGCAAATACAGTACTTTAATTCCTTTCTATAAAAATCATGTGATTTATTGAATCACATGATATTAATACAAATTATCAATTTATCACTAAGATATGTACCTAAAATATCACAGTAATTTATTAGCCTTCAACTTTTATTGATAAGTTATGGATAATCACTAATTGATAAGAATACCCAATAGTCTCAAAAGCGGTTTTATTAAATAATTACATAATATATTTATATACTCATAATTTCAATTCACTTTTAAAAATTATTTATTTTGTTTCACAATTTATAGTGTACATTATTTCCTGGAATGTAACAAACTTATTAGATACGTTTTTACAGCTAATATTATATACTTATAGAATTTTCTTTTCTCTTTTTTTCTACTCAAAACATTGTCTTTTCTGTCTTTCTATAGGATAGTCTAGGATATAAGCCATTACTTTTTATTTTCTGCCTTCAGTGTCCCTATTATTTATGAATTTTCTATATTATGCTAAATTTCAAACATAAATCTCTATTTATGTTTAAAGATAATATGGAGTAATTTTTGTTTAAGAAAATTTAGAACTTTTCTTTTCATAAATTTGTAAAATATTATGGTATTAGGACAAATCATTCTTTATGTTCCATTATTTTCTCATATCTTTTTTTTATAGATATGTATCTGTAATTCCAAATATACATAAAGAACATTATAAGAATAAATCTAAACATGACTAATAGTGCAATACTAATTTACAGCACATAAAAATGATTTATATTCTATTGTAAAGAGGAATGAACATTTTATTATTTCCTTGTTATTTTATATTACATCTGTTATGCTGCATTATTGTATTTTACATTATTATATGAAAAGCTGTAAATATATTTGTAAAGATACAAAGACATAGACATATTTTTAAATACACAAACTATTTAAAAACATTTATTTATTATCTATTCTCTTCTATTCAATTTTTTAAATAAAACTAGCAAGATTTTCTTATGTTTCCTTATAATAAATACAACAATTATTAACTTTTATGTTTGCCTACTCATATGTACATATGTATATATATATATATATATATGAGTTAGTAAACCCATTAACATTATTTAAATTTTTAATATGCGATTCCTCTGAATTCATGTTTACAAAAATAATTTTGTTATATTCATTTACAGTTAAATCCTGACGTGAATGCCTTTCAACGTAAATTCGTCAATGAGGTCCGGCGTTGCGATGAGATGGAAAGGAAGCTTAGATACCTGGAGAAGGAGATCAGAAAAGATGGAATCCCTATGCTGGAGATTCCTGGAGAATGTCCTGAAGCACCACAGCCCAGAGAGATGATTGACCTTGAGGTATTTTGTTTCCTACTAAAATCTAGAAGAGTTACGTGCTGATATGAATGTCTAGAATGGATCAGAATACTTCTTTATGACTTACAAAGTGCTGGGCGCTGATTATTTTCACAAATATAGTATACCTACTCATAACTATAACTCAGGATCCTACCTAATTATGTTTCTTGACATTCTACCTACAACGTCTTAATCCTAGATCTTCTTAATAAAAATAAACTTTATGTATTGTTTCTCGCGGTTCATATTGACGAAAAATCGTATTATTTATAACTGCGTTTGTAGTGAGAATTTTTAATAAAACTTTCCATTGTAGTTTTATCACTAGCCCTGATTGTGGGCATTTAAAGTACATATTAATTAAAACAATTTTTTTATATTCGGTTTATTTGCTTCATTTCATGTATTTTTTTAATGAAAATTATTCATTAAATTTAAGTAGACAGAATGAGCTTTCTATCATAAAAATTGAAGCGTATTAGACTAGCCCAAATTTACCTTCAGATTTATTTATTATTTATTTTTAAACTTTGTTACATTAAAAGAAAATCAAATAACCAAAATTATTAAGGTTGCACGCCTTACGATTTATACTTTTTTATTTAGCGATTACTTTCAGGCAACCCTAGTAAGGAAAAAACTAAAATGAGAAATATTAAGGGTAAAGTGTAAGAAAAGCATACCGAAATAAACAACAATTAAATTACAAATAACACTGTAAAATTATAGAATTACCAAACTTAATCTAAAGTAGTACAAAAAAATCGTTAAAATCTTTTTTATTGCACAATGGTAATTTGAAATGTCGGAGCTAATGTCTTATGCTTACTATTTAATCGTAAATTATTATTTTCGTTAAAGCAACACCTGTGGCCTTCGTTAATTGCTCCACAGACGAGTCTTGTCACAGATATTTGTTTTGAAGTATATCAATCAATATATGGGATTACTATCATACACCTCTCAATATTTCCGGTCATCTGATAAGATAATACCTATGAAGATATATCCGTGGGAAGAGAAGATATTTAATTTGCCTAATCTGGTGTCTTCTCGAACTTCTCGCATTGAATTCTTTGATATGCAAACTTCGTTGAAAAACATAAAAGTTACAATAACATTTCAAACTCAATAAAAAAGTAAATATTTACTTCTTGTATAAATTGGTTGCCTGGACGAGATCGCTCGAAAGTGATCGCCAGTCCTTTTCATTTAATTATTTCAACTGTATTATGTTTCTCTATGCAACGAAGTGTTCTTAAATAAATAAAAACACAACACAAAAATATTTATGGAAGTCATTAATTCTTAGGCTACTTTTGAGAAACTAGAAAATGAACTTCGCGAAGTTAACCAAAACGCAGAGGCTCTGAAGAGGAACTACCTCGAGCTCACGGAGCTGAAGCACATCTTGAGAAAAACTCAAGTTTTCTTCGATGAGGTGAGTACATAGTATTACAAGCTTTACCTAATATTTTAATCATAGTTGCCTACGTCAGCTAACGCACCGGCCGCGTGATAAGCGTGTCTGTTGGCGGATCCTATGATCTAGCGGATTGTCAACCAATTCATTATAATTCTGTTTGGTTTGACGTCACTGTGACCTGTTTATGACTATCGTTTAATTGGCCTATTCTTTCATTGAAATGCTTGAAGAAGCTGTTGTAGAAAAAGTAGCTCCAAGACGAAAATATTTCAATTATTTCTCTATTTATTTTTATTTATTTCTGGTCGATGTTTCATGCTTTAATATGTTTATAATTTAATATGGAGTCGTGGCAAGGCTGAGATATCTTGTCTTACTAAAATACCGCACAGTTCAGATTTGTAACACCTCTATAACTTCCAAGGTCGTGGGTCTGCAGATTTTCTTCATTACTATAAATTTTTTCAAAGTGTCACGCCTAGGACTTTAATTTGCCCAACGTCATCGTCACATTCGTTTCGACCTTGCGATTCTAATTGATATCAGCGTAAATTGAAAGTGCATTCAAACGAATTCAAAAGATAATTAACGGTCGAAAAAATGTGACATTGACATTGAACATTTTGCTGATTTTCGCGCCATTTTGGCGCTTATGTGCACAAGATGGCGGACCCGTCGCGCGAGGAGGAACAAGTGACACTGCTTGGGGAGGAGGGCCTGATGGCTGGAGGGCAAGCGCTCAAGTTGGGGTATGATTAATTTCACCTCCGGCGTGCCTTGGCTCATGTCAAAGCAAGTGCTGGAATATGTTATTTTTACAGCGTTTGTACTGTGACGCTGATACGGGAGTCTACCGCTCACCACTCAGGCAAGCATTGGAGACGGCCGGTTTATAGTATACCGATAGATTAACACTTAACGTGATGTGTGATGGATTTGATGATAGACGTAGACATCTAATACGTGGCTTAGAATTAGACGGTATCGAACGCTAATCGATTGCTGCCTGAGTGAGTTTGACTAACAACATAATTTATTTTTGAAGTCCGCTCGCACATCAGAGGCATCTCCGATAGGACACAGATCATCCATCATGCTTTCTGTATTTGTTGCATGCTTTTATTTATGTTCCTTTTAGTAGCATCGATTATTTAGTACACACTGAACACTAGAACTAACAATGAGCAAACAACGGCTTGGAACGAATTGAGCACTGCCGTGTTGGTGCTATTTTTTACTACAACAAGCTATTATCGAGCGGTAAATGTTGAAAAGCTTTCGTATGTGCCGTCGGGCGATGTCTGTACTTGTTTGTTTGTCTGCTAGCACGAGGGCGGTGCCAATATCACCACTGAGTCCATGACGCGTGCGCTCATATCAGACGACCCCAACAACCATATGGGACAAGTCCAACTAGGGTATGTATGTGTACATACAGCGCTAGTGTGACGATGACCTTGCAATTTTCCACCGGCTTTGATTTATAGCCGAAAAAACTCTGTAATGGCGTTCTGACATTAAGATTTACCTCAGTGGACATTCAATAAATAAAGTTTAATTCATTGAAAAAGATAAATAGTAACTTACCAACATAGGAAATCGTATTCACGCACGACGTCAGACTCGTGAGACGTGATCCATCATAGTTTATTATTTGTAAAACTATACGGCCGTAGCGTAAATATTTAGTTTGGCAAGAGTTGCTAAGATGATTGTGGACGTCTCGTGTCGTGCGTCAAGACGAAACGATGTCTGGCTGATACTTGTATACAATTTTTGAAACAATGATAATGCATGCCCATTTGACAGACTAATTGATGAAATGTACTTAATGTACTAAATGTGCTTGGTTTATTCCCTAGTTATCGGGACAAGCAAGAGTCCTTGGAATTCCTGCCCTGGTTAGTAGTGTACATAGTATTATTGTAGCTGGTTTGGTTGTGGGTTAGCTGGTATTTAAGTCTTTCTGCTTTGGTTATAGCTTAAAGCTCACTAACTCACTTTCATATACAATGCGTGATGAGGTTTGGACTTCAAGAATAGATGATGGATTAGGTGCGAAATGTAAATGCTGTAATCAATCAAAATCAATCGTAACGTTTTATATTGACGCTTATTAAAAGCAATTGTTATTATGCGGGCTTAAGGTCGCTGAGATTTTTGATTTGCGTGTGAAACAAATGACGATATTTGTTCAGCATTGTACATACATATGTGGACAGTAATGATTCGGAGTTTTATGTATTATTGTGTATATAAGACGTTACGGTTATGTATAATTTCGATCAGTCCTAACAGCGTCTTGGTACGAGTGACTTAGATTAGTTTAATTATAACCGATTTCATGTCTTGATAGAAGATTTTGAGCTCGGTTCTTTTACCTGTAACAAAACCCTACATTCTTTTTCGAGGGATTTTAAATTGTGTCGATACTAGAAAATGTATCATTTAGCTATTTTGTGGACTCTCTTGAAATGTGGACCAAGATTATGAGGAGAATTTCTCCGATAAGCACCAACACGTTTGTGAAATTATTAACATCTATTTAATAAAATACATTACTTATTCATATACGAGTACTTATCATACATTGAGGTCTTGACACATCAGGGGTACAAAATATTCCATTTTTATCGTCATCACATCTGATTCTACTCTAGTCTTCTGTTTACGAACGAACTTTGAGAAAAGGGTTTTGTTACGTAATTATTTCCACAATGCTATTCATTCGTTAACGTAACCAGAACATAACGATTTGTATTTTATGTCTGGTAACCTTGAGTCTATTGAGTATGAAATGGATTGTTGCCATTGAATTATCGCTATTAAATGCAGTGTTATCTTTAGAAGCCTTTTTTGAAGTTATACTTCTTTTGGCGCGTTAGAGAAAAATGATGAGTTAATTTTTACGATGCCCGCACACCGTCACAAAAAACCGACACCCTGAAGTTAGCAACAAAAAACCGACACCCTGAAGTTCAACATTTTAAAATAATAAATGTCCATTTCTTTAATTATGTACAAATAATTTTTTGTGATATTTAAATAAACTTTATTTAACTAGATAATACGTTATAATAAAACTTTCAATGCATAAAATACTTTTTTCTATTGTTAGTGTCGTTTTTTCTACAAATGTAGAATTAGGCGAAAGATAAAAAAATTAAAATGATTTTTATCTTGTTACGCCAAAGAAGTATAACTTCTAACGCGTGTACATGTACACACACTTTTTTTTTACGAGTATAAGCATCAAGAATATTTTTAATTGACATTGCCAGTTCTCAAATCAAGGTCATAAGACAGACGAGACCAGCAAGACACACTCTGCCACTTTTTATAATCTCACTGAAAATAAACTAGGGCTTTTTGAAGTCGGTTATAAGTTTAAAAGCTTCATTTGAATCTAGTGAAAGAAATACTGACACAAATTCTCTTTTTGTTCGTCGTGTTATTGTATATTTAAAAAAATGAATCCACCGCCATGAGTTACCTAGAGTTGTATTGAGATTTTAGGTAAAACCTACTTGGTTTATTTCGTATGACGTTATTCCAATTTCCTTATGTTGTTATTATAATCACGTGTAGGCAACGGTTTTCCTCAATTATAATAACTTCTTGGTTTTTGCAGTATGTATTAAACATGGTATCGACAGTTAAGTGAATATATGCCTAAAATATATGAATTACGAATTCTTCTAAGGTTTTTCAATCACCTTTAACTTTTCTTTAGTAAATACTGCTTGGTACAGTTACTACGCCTTTATTGAAACTAAACGTTAGTAAAGGTGATTTTTAAACTTCGTAATGATAGAACAGTAATCCCCCCTATAACGCGTTTTTGTAGAATACGTGTTCACATAACGCGGTATGAACCCCCTATAACGCGGAGATTTCTGTAGTGTGATATTTATAATGATTTGTCAAGTCCATAATTAGTTTTCGTAACTTTGCACCGGTTCCAATTGTGTTGTTATAAAATAAAATTAATAACTTTATTAAATTCCTGAACATAGTTTTTGAATTGTTAAAAATAGTTATTACTAGAATACTCCTACAACGCGATTTTATTTTATTATATTTATTTAGACGCGGTCCGGGTCTACCGCGTTATAGAATATCAGAAATCGTAGTTAGCGTGACACATCTTGACTGATTATATTGGTTAATGGACTTGTTAATAGTCAATTATTGGTTCAATATTTAACTTGAACCGTTAGCGCCGGACGTTTACCTTGCAAATCGTGATTCGTAAATTGATACAACGATAATTTTTGACAAGACGTGAGGGTTGCCATCAAACGTTATTTCGTAAGAATCAAAAGTAAATTTAAAAGCACGGTGGGAAAAACTCTGCCTCAAATGAAAAAATTAATATGAAACATTTTCTTAATTCTTTGTTCAAACAATATATATTATTTATTAAAGTACCTACAACACATCATATATGCATTTTCTATGGTATATGTAATAATCTATGTATTCTAAAATACATGACAATTACGGTGAACATAAATTTTACAAAAATAATATTAATAACTACAAATTTTAGTTTTTACCAGTAATTTCCTATAATTAGCTTCTTTTAAAAAATTGATAATTTCACTACCGAATGTATCAAACTCAGTATAAGTAAGCGTTTATTCTCTTATTTTCGCGAAGATTTCGAATGAGAGGTGCCTGAATTCCTAGATTTCTAGACTTCAGATTTCTGAATCTGTTTTATGATAATTTGTCAATGTAATTGACAAGTAGGTGATTAGCCTCCTGTGCCTGACGCGGGCGACTTTGGCTCTAAGACAAGCCGGTTTCCTCACGATGTTTTCCTTCACCATTTGAGCGAATGGGTGCACCAGCCAGGGATCGAACCTACGACCTCAGAGATGAGAGTAGCACGCTGAAGCCACTAGGTGTTTAAATCATTTATCAGTCTTTAAATTAAAATACCATGATGCAACCCTATATAATGTAAAGATTGTATTGTTGTGACTTTCAATGCAGATATCTCTGCATGAGCGAAATTGAAAATGCGTAGGAAATTCACATTGCAATCGTCTTGATAAATATAGAGTTTTGTATAAACACAGATCACGTGTTTACTGTTTACTTTAGATAAACACTGAATGGTTAACCCAAATTTGTTACTTTCGTAATTCTGTATGAAATTTTTTTCTTTAAAGACTGTTCAACTTCTCCATGTCAAAGTATTGTAATCAATTAAGGATTGTTGACTAAGTGACAAGTATTAAAGTCAATCATATGATTACAACTGCAAAGTTATTGTTTGCACTTTTCAGATCTAAGTCTCGTCTCCCGTATGTCAAAATCCAACATTCTTTCTAATATGGCGGTCATAAATCAAATCAAAATCATTTGTTCATGTAGGTAACACAATGTACACTTATGAACGTCAAAAAAAAAAACATATTAAATGCTTCTAATTTTACATTTACTGAAGAGGAGAACTAGCAATAAACTCTCCGCCACTCTTTTTAATCGCCAACTTTTTTGTTATACACAATGTTTGTAAGAAGCTTATTTTCCAGTCTCGACGCATACAGTTACTAACAGACAATTTATTAATTAAACGGCATCCTTAATTCAATAGTACAGTCACTAAAAATTTTGTGATTACATACAGTTAGAAAAATATTCTTGATAAACGAGGATTTGTAAGACTTCCCAGTTTGCATATTTCGATTTAATATCACGTAACTTAATTCATAAAAAATGTCAAAGGATTGATGCCTTTGAGATGTGGTGCTGGTGGCGAATGCTACCGTGGTTCGCGCACCAATACATCCAACCCAACTCCGCATACGGACTAGCCTGTCTACCATATGCCGACAGCGAATTGTATCTTATTTCGGCCATACAATGCGCAGAGGCGATAAGAACTTGGAGAAACTGATCGTGGTGAACACAAGGCAAAATATCACGTGGCTGTTCACCAACCAGGAGGACTGATCAAGTAAAAGACTCATAAGAGTCCTCAAAATAACACGCTGTTATATAAGAGAGGCGCTGGACCGAAACCGGTGGAAACAGATTGTCCGCTCCAGATGTTTCCTTGCTGACCGCTGACACGTGAGCTACTGACTGAAGAGAGAGTGTCATTTCGGATTCAGTTTTACAAATTAACCCTGATTCGTAAACTACACAAAGTCATTATCTTAGGAGACCTTGCGGCTCATTACGTCTCTTCGTCTAGCGAAAACTAATTATGGCAAATTAGTACAAAGTATTTACAAATAGAAATTGGTGTTTTACTGCTGTCGTGACCAATTAAAAGTCTCACGTTCCAAACCGTGGGAATCGTTGGACAATGTTTTTATTTTGACTTGTTAGTTGAATGCAATAGTGTTACTGCGAAGTTATATACTGTACTACCGAACACATGATTTTGAATTAAAAATAACGTAAATTATTTATTTATATTGGTACACTTCTTTTGTAGCTTTCTTCATTACTGAAGGTCGTTTGGTGTTGCATAGTTTACTCTATTCGCCTGTAAGGACCTTAACTAGGTATTAATATTTACTATGTTCTATGAATATTTAAAAAACATGGAAGAATTCATCCTAGTTCCTAAATAAAAAGGACAAGAACTGGCAAGAAACTAAGAAACTGCAACCGTTATTGCTGAAGCATAAAATAAACTTGACACGTTGAAACAAAATGTCATAAATACATATACCGTATATATTTCGTGCTAATTAAATAAATATACACAAAACTGTAGTTTGAAAGTTTCTACTATTTAACGAGATTATTAAAGCTGAAATTGTTATTTAAATAATATGAAATTTTATAATATTTCGATGTGGATTTGAAGAGGTTTTTAGCGACAATGGCTTCTAATCGCAATTCATAAAAATAACGAATGAATAACGTTGGTAAATATTTTCTGGTGATGGATGAATGGTTTTAATTGATAGAGAGATATCGAACGTCGTTATTTATTGTTACGTCAATAGACTATTTGACAAAAACATTTTAGATTATTTATTAGTCACTATGGTACCTATACAAACTGTTATTTTTAATTATTTTAAACAAAAAAAAATAATAAATTATAAAAAAACCGCCAAAACGTTCCTTTATGGAGGATTCGGTTGCCAGTCCCTATGACTTGAGTGACAAACAACTGTGTTAATTGTAATTCTGCGATTTGTGTTAAATTACACAGACTGGCAAGACATTATTGCTACGTCATAGTCTGTGACCGTTTTGTGTCTCGTGACTTGAGTATAAAAATCAAAATTTATAATTATCTTTTTTTGTAAATTAATGAGTACAAGTTGTCTCCATAACGCTTTTCAAATCCATGGCTTATACAGATTATTCTAAACAATACTTTATTTTTCATACTGTCCAATAGACTAAAGAATGACGACTCAAAAAGTGATTTATGATCAGTTTTACAAAAAATTACGTATGTTATTACCTTCGCGGACTTGGGCAAATGCCAAAATGGCGAGACGTTACATCATTATGATTAAAGCAAAAACGTTTTATCCGGTATCAAAAGGACAAAACTGGTCAACTAAACATTTTGTATGTAGAAAAGTTGTTTCTAATAAAAATAAATAGATTAATAAAAAAAATAAAAATAAATCAGTGGCGTAATCAGTAGGTCTGGACCTCAGATCTCTGTATCTGTTTCATGATCATTTATCAATCTAATAGGCTAGTAGGTGATCAGCCTCCTGTGCCTGACACACGCACATTTGGGTCTAAGGCAAGTCGGTTTCTTCACGATGTTTTCTTCACCGTTCGAGTTAAATACGCACATAGACAGAAAGTCCATTGTTGTATGGCCGGGGATCGAACCTACGACCTCAGGGATGAGAGTCGCACGGACAACACTGCTCTTTTCATACATTAAACCTTCAAAATTAAATTCGATTTTGATTTGCCATTCGATGGTTCTCCGAAGCAGTCTGCTCTTTTGATTTCTCCGTAAGAATACTGATTGTTTTATTTTGTTAAACAAGGAAGACTTGATGTTATTTCAAAGATTAGTGCAAATCCTATATTCAATGGCAGTTCCTTGTCATGTGATTCTACCTACTCATAACTCGTATCTCGGTCGTCGACACTGAAATGTAAATGGATACAACTTCTGTCAATGATGGAACCTTAATTATCTTCTAGAACTGACTAGAACAAATAATATATTTATTGATTATTGAATTTTTCAATTCGATTTGCGATTGTCGTTTGTTTACTTTGTTAGTACTCCAATTATGGTTTGTGTTATGAGAACTATCAAGGCTTTTTTTAGGTTCATATATGGGTGATGATAATTGGTCAAAATTTACTTTTCCATATACATAGGCAAGGTGGCCAAATGTATACGAAACCCTTGGATGTAAATCAAAGTTATTAATTAGTACTAATAGTTGAGTTGTTAGTACAGTCAAAATCTGTTGTAACGACATCGAAGGGACTACTCATATTTGGTCGTAAAAACCGATAGTCGTAACAGCCGATGACGTTGTTATTAAGTACTTAAAACAATGGAATTCACCCGGGACCTTTGATTTTGGTCAATATAACCGGTATGTTGTTCTAAACGATGTTCGTCGTAAACAGTTTTGACTGTAATACTTTAAATTCAAAGACTTCTGTGTGTGCGTAGACCGTATAGGAACAGTCCAATTTCTTTTAAGACAGTGGCAAACCTTATGTTAAGTCTAACACTTTCAATGCCAGAGTTCTCGCGAGTGCGTTGCCAGCCTTTAAAACCTATTGTATTTTTGTTACATATTGTTGGACAGCCAGGTTTTGAACGCACGGCCGCTTATACTAGGAATAATTAAACAAATAAATATTTAGTTTTATATATTTTATGGTGGTGACTTAAAAGTCGGTGTACGTTGACCTTGTGTCTTAACTGTGCAACTCTTATCCCTGAGGTCGTAGGTTCTATCCCCGACTGTGCCTCAATGGAGTTCCTTCTATGTGCGCGTTTATGATTTATCGCTTGTACTGGCATGTTTGCCGGTTTCCAGCATACCTTAGACCCATAAGTTGACGGCGTGTGCCGGGCACAAAAGGCTGATCACCTATTTGCTTATTAGAATAATCATCACGACACAGATATAGAAATCTGAAGCCAAGATCGAGGGTTGTAACTTGTACGGGTTTTTTAGTATACGTTTTAAAGGTTAACTTTTATTCCCAATTCTGGTTGTAAAGCGCGTTTCAAAATACAAGCAGCGCCATCTAAGTATAATTAATAATTATGTTGGACACATTTTGTAGTAGTAGTGTATTTAAATTATATTAATAAAAGGAATTCAGGCAGCTTTTCTGAAGCTGAGTTTTACCATCGGACGATGAGGCATTATACAAAATTCCCCTTGTTTTCGAACGAACCAGTTGCATACTGAATTGCCGACCGATTCGATTTCAGGTCCATCAATTCACTTGCGAGCCTTCTGGCAGTGTCTTTGGGTGGCGATATCACTTAATATAGCCGGGGGATGAGGGGGACAGCCTGCTGCTGCTTTAAAAAAAATAAGTTCTGTGCAATATAACGTATATATATATATATAGTATTACATTAAATAGCATTACGCGCATAAATTTGCTCATTTGAATTTAAAGTTGAACGAGAATTACGTCACTCGTTACATAAGTGATTACATTATCAATGATAAAATTCTCATTACGATTTATCAGGTTGAATTGTAATGGAAAAAAATCGGCCATGATTTTCCACTTATGTCGCGATAAAATCACTTTAAATTTACAAGTATTTCGTGTCTATTTCCTATTATCGGAGAATGGAAATTTCGCTAATATAGATATATGGTAGACTGTCTGTATGTTAATATTTAGAAATGTTAGCCATGTAAGAAGTCTGGCTGTTGGTCCTCATATCAGAGGAGGAATAACAAATTTAATTATTACCTGCGTTTAAACGAAAATCAAGCCTGATGCTCCTGGCATCTCGGTATGATTACATAACCCCTTAGCCACAAAGATATAGGGCAGATATATTATAATAAGGCGAAATCAGTGGCGCTACAGTCTTTTTAAGTCTAGGCCTAAGATTTCTGTATATGTATCATGATTTGTCAATCTAATAAGCGAGTAGGTGATCAGCCTCTGGCTGACGCCGTCTACTCTTTGGGTCTAAGGCAAGCCGGTTTCCTCAGGATGTTTTCCTTCACCGTTCGAGCGAATGTTAAATGCGCACATACCTACAGAAAGTACATTGGTTCACAGTCGGGTATCGAACCTACGACCTCAGGGATGAGAGTCGCACTCTTAAGCCACTAGGCCAACACTGCTCTGTAAACATAAACCAAATTTCACTAAAACGTATGCATAAAGCAAGTAACCAACTAATTAATTTCATAAAACAAAATCACAAATAAATATTTCATCGTACTTCAGATATAATCACTAGTCAATATTTATTTCCGCTGCGTAAATATCTTATTTGTATAGAATATTTTTGTACATTTATGCCATCTGACTTATGAAATTCCACACGATCGATATCTCTCTATTTCGTCATCAAGACCATCATTAGTATTCATCACACATCCTGAGAAAGTCCTGTATTGTGAATAAATGAGAATTGAAAATGCAAAGCAAAAGCGTCATTGGTGACTTTCGACGGACCTTTTAAGAAATCTATTTCCAATATAAATAGATTTTTTAACGTAGCAATTCTGAATTGTATATATTTATCATTCAGAAGTGTTTCATAATCATTGAAATGTCGCACATGCATGGTGTTAAGACAAGTTTTTGTGCAGTTTCGTCGCTGGAGTTATCCTTCGGGAGCGCATCCCGGCTTTTGAAAGGATGCTATGGAGGGCCTGCAGAGGAAATGTCTTTTTGAGACAGGCTGAAATTGATACACCATTGGAAGATCCATCTTCGGTATGTACGCTATTGTTTTATCGCGAAAACAAAAGACAAATCGATGTGTTTTGTATTGATTCAGGTTATTCTTAAATTCCTATAAGATAAGTGTTTTTGTTTAAGTATCATGTAAATGCTGTGTATAAAAGTGGTGTTTGTTTAGAATATTCTTTGGTAAATTAGTATAAATTTATGTTTTGGTCTAACGGAAAGTTGTTTTGGACTAGATGGTTTCACTGTTATACAGGTATGTTCTCTTCATTAGAAGACCTTTTTCAAGATTATGTTGATTTATCAGAAACAGGTATAGCTAATTAATCGTGTGGTGTGACAAACGTATTAGAATTGCTAAAAAGATGCATGCATTAAAGGAAGTGCCTTCGATAGTGATTCTAAAAAAATTACAATTACTCATTTACACCAGTTTTTTATTTCAGTGAAACTAAATCGCAAAGCAAGAGATGGGTTATGTCAATTAACTGGTAAAAAATGTGTCCCTAACACAAAAGGCCGTTTCCAGACTTAAGTAAACAGTTTCCAATTCCAGTAAAAAATTATGTTGAGTTATTTTATGTTTCCAGGATACAAACATACACGCCATGGTAGTCTTTGGCATATTATCATTAATCTTTTTAAATTTCCAGTCGGACCAAGTATACAAGTCGGTGTTTATAATCTTCTTCCAAGGAGACCAGTTGAAGACGCGCGTAAAGAAGATTTGCGAGGGCTTCCGCGCCACTCTCTACCCATGCCCTGAAGCGCCTGCTGACCGAAGGGAAATGGCTATGGGCGTCATGACCAGGATTGAAGATTTGAATACGGTAAATTATATTTATTGGTGGGGGGAATTGAAGTATATCACAAAGTACCGTGCATTATGTCGTCACGATCCCCAGTTGTGATTTTTTTTAAATTGGATAGCCGATCCTACGGGACGCCCAGAAAGGGCAGTCATCGCTATCCATGGACACTCATTTTAGTGCCGTTGCCGGCCTTTGAGGGAGGCGTATACTTAGTAGTAGTATTTCTTACTGATATATTACTTGTATTCATTTGATAAAAGGGCCTGGGACTAGTGCTAGACAGGCTACTTCTAATTAATTTGCGATATTTGTTTTAAAATATGTGTTGTTTGCCATTGTCATTTTGTATGATGATTTGCTATTTAAAGAGTACCGAGAGTTTTTACGCCGGCTTTTTCTCTCGGCCTACACCCTCTGTCTTTTTTGCCGATGTGTAGGGATGTCTATTGATTCAAATTTAGTGACGTGGAATAAGTGATATCTGTATCTTAATATTCCATAATAAACGTATTTTTTTAAAATTGCTATTACTTTTAACATAGACCATAAACAGTTACGGAGATCTAACTTTTCATTTCCTTACATTTTTCTTTGCTGGCTCTTTTCTGTAGAACCAATTGTTAGTAAGAAGCATGATTGGAAACGACTTATAAAGTTTATTTGTTTCAATTTAACTCTCGAAAAAAATTATTGCAATAGTATAACCGTGTTGGCAATGACAAAGTAACTGGGCCAAAACGGCCTAAATGGATTTAACAATTCTTTCGTAAGACTTAAGAAGAAAAAACATAACACAAGAACAGAGTGTCTTCCCTTTAACTAAGAAGTTTAAAGAGACTGTAATTAGTGTTATTGGACACTTTCTAATTATTATTAAATATCCTTATTAGTAAATTAGGTAACACATAATTTTTAATTACTTATTAGTCATGAGACAAGTATTAAAAAAAATACTTGGAAATAAAATGTATTTATTTAGGTGAATATATGAAAAACTATATGAACAAAAGCCTTAACCGAAGTGGCTTGAATACATGATAAATTATGAAAATGAATGTATGGAGGACATATTTCCCCTGACAGCAGCAATTTATTTGACAAATTCCGTTATCGGAACGACTTTGACACAGAAAACAAATATCGCGGTTTACGATGTTGGTACAGCGATTATGTTGGGCAACGTGACGTAAAAACTTGGTCCATTGTTTGATTTTTTGATGATTTTAGTGTTCATGGGATAAAAGTCTTAAAAGTATCTTAAAATAACTACGTCTTTATAGCTAAGTCGTAAAAATTTAACAAAGATTGCTCTGCTCGTAATAATCTCTCTGCATTTTTACGTTACACCGTTAGAACTGAATTAATTTACTTATAATTAATTGATCAATAGTAATATTTAGACCAGGACATGCCTTCAACTGGCCGAAACTGGTTGTAAAAACTACTTTGGGCATACCGTAAAGCACGTTTGAGCCCTATGCTATAAAAAAATACGTCGAATGTTCAGATTACGAAATTCCAGCTGAGTATCACCATCGAACGTCCAGGCGTTCCACCCGTATATCTATACGCCGTTCCCTATGGTCGTTTTTCAATGCCTTTTGTCGGTACCACCACAATATCGGAAACGCTCCCACTAAAGTATTTCAAAACCAATAGTGACTTTCAGAACCAGTACTAATACGCCAAAAAAGGTACCAATTCTTAAAAGTGCACGACCAACCAGCTCTGCATTGAGAGTATAAACCACTAGGCGGTATATGGAAAGTGTGAGTTGCCCGTTTTTACAACCAAGTTCTGTAAACAAGTGTATGTGTCACTACAATAAATTCGAAGCCCTCGTTAAACGGAAAAAATGGCGATAAAGCGTGGCTTTACATACATATTTTAGGAATACTTAAATGATGGTAAGACTTGGGATATGATTTGATCCAGTTCAAACGATTTGTAGTAACAAAACGTGCCGACTAAAATAAGTGGCGAAAAGGTTCTTGCCAGTTCTTCTTAACCGAAGTCTACGCCCTTTACTTAGCGAACGGTAAGAATGTAAAATCTTTTCAGTTTTAATTTCACTGACATTACTATTGACAAAAGTCTACTTGGTTACGCACGAAGTATTTGAGTTCTGTCAGCCTACAATGTTGTGAGCGTGTCTGCCAAGGCGTGAATTCAAAGTACCAAAGTATGTGTAACGGCTTCCCTCTCATGTATTTTACAACGTTCAATTCTACGTTTATATGGCTCCTTCCACAAAACAGCGTACCAACTTTTCGTGTTACAGGCCGGCTTACTCACTCAAGAGCCGCCGGGCTATTCAAACGTTTCTATAGGCGACTCACAAGTTAAGCTGCTGCCTGTGTAGATCTTCTATTTTCTTTTACTCACATGGATTTCGAACATCATCCACGGACAGTTACTTAAAACTTCCATACGAACATTTTGTGTTCCACTTGCTTAATATTAATAATAAATAATTTATTTGCAAGAAAGTGGTACATTTAGATCGATAAATAATAAAAATCCGCACAAATCAGCCGTATAAAAATAGGCATGCAAATGTCATATTAATTTTCATTAAGTCATGTAATAAGAACATCAACACAATGTTATAATAAGCTATTTATGATTGTTGTCCACGCTATAAAGGCTTATTTTTGTGGAGGGCAAAATAGTAAATAAAATATTATTGTTATACAGGTTCTCGGTCAAACCCAAGACCACCGTCACCGCGTGCTGGTCGCCGCAGCCAAGAACATCAGGAATTGGTTCGTCAAAGTTCGCAAGATTAAGGCCATCTACCATACGTTGAACCTGTTCAACCTGGATGTCACACAAAAGTGTCTGATCGCGGAGTGCTGGGTTCCGGCTCTTGACATGGAGACCATACAACTGGCGCTTAGGAGGGGAACGGTACTTTTTTGATTTTCATAATATGCATTTTCAATTTGCCTGGGTTCATTTCCTGGAGAAAATGGCTTTCAACGTGACTTAAACCATATAATAAAACAATATAAGACACATATATATGACGGTCTTAGTGTTTTCCAACCTGTTTGTGCCATATATTATGTAACATAATTTTTAATATATCAAATTTAATTGTTCACTTAAAAAACCTAAAATCATTTAGCTAACCTATCAAGGTTTTAGGATGAAATACTGAAATTCATATTCTATATAATTTTAATAAAATTTCGGATTGCCCCCCCTCGTTTTTGTGCCCGTTCACTGGTACAGAATTCAATATCTCCAAAACATTGTGTCAAGTTAGCTAAAGCTAACTATAGAAGGCACAATTTCAAATAACAAATAATTTTAACATAAAATAACAAATGAAGGTACTAATGGCCATCTAGTCTAGTAAAGTTTTCTACTAAGGTAACTGGACACTTTCGGCGTCATCTGTTAATTATTATTATTAATACTCAAGATTAGTTATATGGGCTTCTGTCAATTATAAAGTTATATAAACCTTGTATTTTACTAAAGCCTTATATCACGTAATTAAAATAACTCGTTCCAGGAACGCAGTGGCAGTTCGGTTCCGCCCATCCTCAACCGGATGGAGACGCTGGAAGACCCACCCACGTACAACCGGAACAACAAGTTCACCATCGCCTTCCAGAACCTCATCTACGCGTATGGTGTCGCCACCTATCGAGAGGTCAACCCAGGTGAGCCAGAATCTCAAATTTTCTTAATCGATCATGTGGAATATAGTTAATATTTATGTAAAACAAAACTTTGCGATAAAAAGATTATTGCCAGTTCTTCTCTTCTTCTACGATCTTACTTGAGAATCATTTAAAAAATTAGAAATATTTAGCATTTAATATTTATTTTTTATTGACGTCATAAGTATACATTGTGTTACCTAAATGAAGAAACGATTTTTACTTTTTTAAGAGTCCTTTTTTCGACATTTTATTTTATTATTAATAATTTAAATGTTTTATGACGCAGTCTTTTAGTTAAATACTTAAATTTAAAATGCTTAAATCAATGCAAATGCCATTATAAGTTATTCCAGTAATTAACAAAAAAAATTAAAGGATAATAATATTTCTTCCCCCAGCCCCTTACACCATAATAACATTCCCGTTCCTCTTCGCGGTGATGTTTGGAGATTTGGGCCATGGGGCTCTAATGGCTATTTTTGGCTTCTGGATGTGTTACAAGGAAAAACCTCTGCAGGCAAAGAAGATTGACAGCGAGGTGAGAATTCATTTCAATAAATTTATCATATGTTTAGGTAAGATTTTTAAATTTTTTTTTAAAGATCATGAAATAGAGAAAATAATGAAATTCTATTAATTTTTCACTTGTTCCTTCTTTTCTCTTATTTTTCGTTTCTTTGTAGTAATGTTCGTTCTATGCCCTTGGACCATTATTTGGCTGGTTTGGTTGCACCTCACCTCAGGCCTCATAAACTAACAGTCATATTCTACATTCTTCTTTAAATAATTTCATTAATATCATCTTTAATAAAGTTTGCCTTTATTTGGAACATAATAATTCCAGATCTGGAACATCTTCTTTGGCGGACGGTACATCATTCTGCTCATGGGTCTATTCTCAATGTACACGGGGCTCATATACAACGACATCTTTTCAAAAAGTCTCAACATTTTCGGCTCTTCTTGGAGGAACAACTACAACATCAGTACCCTCGAGACCAACAAGTTGCTGCAACTCAACCCTGACTCTTGGGACTACCTTCAGGCTCCGTACCCCTTTGGAATCGACCCGGTTTGGCAGGTGGGTATCTCAATTATAAGGGAAAATCCTTAATTTCTTAAATTACTGTATAATACTGAACTATCTAATGTTAATTAAATTGTATTTTAATAGTTTATACCATAGTACCGGATGTAAAAGTTTTAACTTGTTCAAATTTTTTTTTTATTCAAACTTATTTCAACTTATTCTGATGTTAAGTAATACCTGCGCCCATAGACACTGTCATTGCCAGAGGGTTCGCGAGTGCGTTGCCGGCCTTTAATGAAAGCATTGTGTGACTGTTGCCATAGGAATTTGTATGGGAATAGTCACGAGACCGAGCTTTTAACCTTTGTGGACCACATCCGTTAAGTATTTTTGTTTCATATCCCAGAAGAATAATCACGACTGCAAGAGTAATAAAACACATTTTATTGATTTAATTTTAATTTCTAGCTGGCAGAAGCGAACAAAATTATCTTCATGAACGCCTACAAGATGAAAATCTCCATCATCATTGGAGTATTCCACATGCTGTTTGGAGTCTGTATGTCGTTGTGGAACCACTTGTGTGTATTACTTTCATTTTATTACAATATCAGACACAGACACTGTAGACAGAAGTAGTTCTTTATATTACTTTTTGACAGACATTCTGTGTCTATGTTGTGTATTAGTGATTCATATGTTTTATTAATATGATTCTTAAAAGTAATAGAAGGAATCTCAATGATAAAAGCAACAATAAATCAATCAAATCAGTCAATATTTCGATCAGAACATTATTATTATAATAAATCTTATGTGAGAGATTAATATATTGACAAAATGGAAAATTCCCTTCAGGTACTTCAAGCGCCGCATCAGCATCTACGTGGAGTTCATCCCTCAGATCATTTTCCTGACTGTGCTCTTCTTCTACATGGTGCTGCTGATGTTCATGAAGTGGACGTTTTACGGAGCCACCATTGACCACTTCGGAAGCCAAGAACCAGGTATGCAATTTCAAAACTAATAATAGTCTGCGCAAGCGCATATAAATATATATATATAAACGCATTATATATATAATTAAACCTTTTATAATGTTGAAAAGGAATTTAAACAACGACACGACATAACGTCCTTTTCATATGTAAGGACTTAAAATGTTCCCTTCTGAAGTGATGGTATATTAAAGACTGAAAAAAAAAATCAGTAGCGCTACAAGCTTTTTAGGTCTGGGCCTCAGATTTCTGTATCTGTTTCATGATCATTTGTCAATCTAATTGGCAAGTAGGTGATCAGTCTCCTGTGCCTGACACACGCCGTCGAATGTATGGGACTAAGGCAAGTCAGTTTCCTCACGATGTTTTCCTTCCCCGTTCGAGCCAATGTTAAATGCGCACATAGAAAGGAAGTCCATTGGTGCACAGCCGGGGAGCGAACCTTCGACCTCAGGCATGAGAGTCGCATGCAAGCCACTAGACCAACACTGATCTCAAAAACGACTGAACCGATTTTCGTGAATCTTTACTTTGGTTATAAAAATTTGAGTATCACAAGCGCCTGGAGTTGATTATTGTGATGATTGGTTTACAGATATCGTGAAGTCGTCCGGCTTCTGCGCTCCCTCCATCCTGATCACGTTCATCAACATGATGCTGTTCAAAACCGATGAGAACCCGCGAACACAGTGCGACCCCACCATGTACCCTGGGCAGATTGGACTGCAAAAGGTACATTACGGTTTTTTTTATGTATAAGGTTCACCTGATGTTAAGTAATGTTCCCATGGACACTCTAAATGCTAGAGGGCCCGCGACTGCGTTGCCGGCCTTTTAAACAACTAAAATCACTTGGTTTTAGACAATTATTTCTATAAAATTTTGTAAATAATAATGAATTTTTTTTAGTTCTTCGTGTTGGTGGCTCTCGTGTGTGTGCCCGTGATGTTGTTCGGCAAACCCTACTTCATCATGCAAGAGAGGAAGAAAAGGGCGGTGAGTTTTAATAGCGTATCAATAACTAAAATAATGGGTTTTGTGATCAGTGTAGGCTTGCCTTGATTACCTACTTGCTTATTAGATTTACAAATGATCATGAAACAGTTACAGAAATCTGAGGCCCAGACCTAAAAAGGTTGTAGCGCCGCTGATTTTTTTTTATTAGGTTTTATAGACACCGCTAGCGTGTGGCAAGTAAATTGCTGGCAATAATTTCCACCACTTTTGATTGGAAGTTAACTGGCGTTAATATAAAAGTAAAATGTGCTTTTTATATGGAGATCATAAATAATTCTGTATTTTTTACTATAAATAAGAATATTTTAAAAATAAACAAATCTAGAAGTATCACGTGAATATAATTTATAAAAATATATAATTATAATATAAAATTAGTTAATTAATTGAATGAATTAATAATTGTTCAATATAGGAAACAATTACGGTCGCTTTGTACCAATAATTTAAGGTAACAACTCCCTCAACTCCCTTTATTCCTAGACTATAAGTGGTTTTTTTCATATGAATTGAAACCAATATTCCTATATGAAATATCTTAAATAAGCTGAAAATAACTGTAATTTCTTTTAGCTTCAAGGCCTGCAGCCATTGGCTGAAAATGCCGAAAATGGAACAGCCGGTGGAGCACCCGTGCCTACTTCGCATCATCAAGATGAAGAAATCTCCGAAGTCTTCATTCACCAGGTAAATAGATCATTGTACTTAAAAATTGTTCTACTTCTGTTTTCGCCCAATCGAACCCTGGGTCTTTGATTTATCCGTCACAGTAGTAGTAATGTGTAGTAATTTTCAAAATTAAATGTAATCATTAGAAGATTTATTTCTTCCTATTAAAAAAAATATTATTGTACCATAGACTGTGCAAAGACATTTTTTCTGAGTGAAATTTGTAAGTTACCAACACTAAACCTTTGAAGATTATCCTATATACATACTTTATTATATATACATATACGTATATATAAAAGGGCACATATGATTTGCTGTATGACTTTAGTTAACAAGTTACATAGATTAACGAACCTTTTTTTATTTAGTGAAGTGACAATAGTTCTATTATTAGTTAGTGCCTAGTAGTTAGTAATTTTTTTGTATTTCTTTATTATGACATTTTGTTTTTCCTAATTAATTTCTTATGTCGGTTTTTTATTTTTATTTTAAATATTTTTCATTGATTTGATTGTGTTTTTTATAAATAAATATTAATATAATATTTTCTCAATAGGTCAAATGCTTTTTGTTTATTTTTCTAAGTTTTAATTATCAAATGTTTTAATATTTTTGTGTATTTCATTTCTGACTACATTTTTAGTATAATTGAAGTAAGAACAAAGAAGTCATATATATATATATATAATTCTTCTGTGAGTGTGTATGTCACTGAACTTCTCTCAAACGACTGGACCGATTTTGATGAAATTTTTTGTGTGTGTTCAAGGGGATCTGGGAATGGTTTAGATTCACAAATCAGCCCGGCAGATGGCACTGCAGTCGGTACTTTCATACTTTGCTTAATATCCTAATCGCTTTAAATATCATGCAGGACAACGTCTGTGGGGTCCACTAGTATATATATATATATATGTTTCGTAGGCTATCCACACCATCGAGTACGTACTCGGCAGCATATCCCACACGGCGTCGTACCTGCGTCTGTGGGCGCTGTCTCTGGCCCACGCCCAACTGGCCGAGGTGGCCTGGAACATGCTGCTCCGCAAGGGCCTGAAGTCCGCCGGGTACGAAGGCGGAGTGTTCCTATACGTGGTGTTCGCGGGATGGGCCGCCATCTCCGTCTCCATCCTGGTGCTCATGGAGGGGCTGTCGGCCTTCTTGCATACGCTGCGTTTGCACTGGTGAGCCATTGCTTTTTACTGTTCTCGATCTATATTTAGGCTTCTCGTGTGTGTTTTTGTCCATAAATTTATCGGACACTAAAAGTTTTTGAGATATGGATTTCCATTATCCACACACTCAGATAGGGCAGGGAAATTTATTTTATATAAATCTCATTATTTACTAGGGAGCAGCGAGGGGAGGAGCGAGGGTAATGTCATAATCTCTCTCTCTCATATATATAAAATTCTCGTGTCACAATGTTCGTTCCCATACTCCTCCAAATCGACTCGACCGATTCTTATGAAATTTTTTGTGCATATTCACTAAGTCTGAGAATCGGCTACTATCTATCTTTCAAACCCCTAAGTGATAAGGGATGTCCACCCAAAAAAAAAAAAATAAAAAAAAAATGTTTTTTTTATGATACAGCATATAAAAATACATATAACTTCATATAACTCCTAATTTTCACCCCTCTACGATCAACCTCGATTTTTTATTATTGTAGATATTATGTAGTTATTTTTATTAAACTAAAAATTTTTTCCTAGAAATAAATTCATGGCAAAACAAACGTTTGCCGGGTCAGCTAGTAATTATATAAAAAATACTTTAATTAGTAAAATTTTCTTCCAGGGTCGAGTTCCAAAGCAAGTTCTACGCGGGCGAAGGATACTTATTCCAACCCTTCTCTTTCGAAGTCATCCTCGATTCCGCGGGACAAGCAGAGGAGTAAATCAAAAATGTTTATTGTCTAGTGCTATTCGTATTTAGAGGTCTTTCAGAATAGAAATCTATGTATCGTATGAGGTTCCGATAGGGTCAAAGTTTACCAGAAAATTAAAAATCTATATTTATATTCCTTTATTCTTTCTTACTCCTCTTATACAAGTGTATAATGTTTACGCATACGAGACTAGGTCCGTTTATAATCGCTTTACCCGTTTTAATCCAGTTATTTAGTGATAGGATTTAAAAAGTGAATTATATTCCGTATGTAATTAGCTACGTTCGAGACGTGAGATTGTAACGATTAGTTTTTATTCATTTTTATAAAGATTTTTATAAGTTGAAATGTACTTAAATCTGATTTTTAAATTATATCCCCAGGCTCTCTTTAATGTATCATTCCAGTAAGTCATGAAATCAGCTTACGATAGGGTTTATTGTTGAATCAGAAATAAATATTGTAGCTTGTATTGGTGTTTTATTTGTGAATCCTTTTTATATTTATTATAAATAAGTAGTATGCTTAATATAATAGGCTGGATAATATAGGAATTGGCTTTGAATAATATTGTAAAATTCTTTGGGACGAATTTGCGCGCCATCATGTGTGGCAGAATATGCGAACGATTTATGATTGTATCACCTTAGCATTTGTACGATATTCTTGCAATAAATAAATTATTATTATTAATAATAATAATATTTGTTTTTAAATATATAGTAGAGGCAGTCCACGCAGCCCATGGACGCCTATTAGTGGGTGCGTCGCCGGTTTACAAACACGTTTCTATTTCAATCTTCGAAGTCAAGAATCGTTTATTCATATACGTAACACAATTTACACTTATGAACGTCAAAGAAGGAATATACATTAAATGCTTCTAATTTTACATTTACTGCTAGTTCTCAAATCAAGGGCGAAAAATATTTGTAAGAAGCTGCAACCATTACACCATGTTCCACATGACATCTTAAGTAATAAATAATAAAAAAATAAATTAAAAACAAAGATTTGTCCTCTATCAGCAGGAGGCATGGTGAAATAGGAGCACGCACTTACATTTTCGTGGGAACAACACGCAAATACAATAACTAATGCATACACGAATTCAAGTACGACCAGTCACCACAAGTAGCACCCGTTCACGAGTATGACGCATGGCCAGCCATCGGCCCCTCGCCATTCGTTTTTTTGGGTATCTGTGTGCCCTTTTTGGCAAAGGCCTCCGCCTAATCGCGCCATTCCCCTCTGCAAAATGCCACTCTCTGCCATGTACCACCTGCTGTTTCTTTAATTTGGTCTATCCACCTTCTAAGTTGTCTTTCACTTTTTCGTGTCCTATACCTTGGGCACGTTAGTTTATTTGTACGCTTATATGTTACGATATTTTAATGTGATTTTCATCAAAATACAGAGAGATTCCAGAGCAAGTTTTAGTAGTAATAATCTTAAATAGCAGAAACAACATGCCGCATTATTATCCGCTGTTTTTACGGGAGGGAACGTGTAGGTAGTTAGAATAAAGTGCTATCCACTGTTCATGGATAGGAGAAATATTGAGACATGTGTGATACCGACCTTTTAAGATATCGCTCTTTTCTTTAAATGTAAAGTAACTTTACAGTTGGTAACGCAAATAATAGTTGTTGGGGCATTACAATTATAAGATGGTTTTAAAATATAATAGTATCAGTCAAATTCGGCTCCAATAGTTATGCTGATGTCTCCCGGCAGGACTGTGGTCTTGTGATACCAGCGATTTGTATCCACCACCACTGAAATCAGTTTTAATTAGTGCCAAGAAAACACAACATTTAAATTATTTATTGTCTATGATAATGTTAAGTTGATAACTGGAATGCCACTTCCGTGGCGGGATCGATTCGCGGCGAAAAATAATTAGATTAAAAAATACGTCAGGTCCATGAATGCTTTAACACAATACATATTAAAACGCTTACGTATTTCCCCTGGCTCCACAGTAAAAGTGATCCAGTCACACCAGTAAATACATTCGGGTGGCGGCGCCAGTTCCCACTGCTTGCGACCGCGAATCTGTGCCTGCCACGATATGTGACGCACTGAGTCCACCTGGGAATTATAATAGAAATGAAATAGTGAATTATGAAATATTTCGTAGGGGTTGCGTGGTAACGCAATCTCCATTAACGATTTCAATATTGAGTTTTTGTACCACATCAGTCCACTTGCGAATCCCGGGCTAAATATATTTATAGTACCTACTTTATATGGTGTTATCTGGCTTTTGTTCACGGAGTACCAACTTTACCCTTAAGTATTTGTTTTACGTAGTTAAAAAAAAGTCAAAATAAATAACCCTAATTTAACTTTTAACATAATTATTATTTTCGTCAATGTTGTACGTGAGAACATACCTCTAGGCATTATATATAGGTTATGGCAGTCTAGTAAAAAACAATGAAATTACATGCATATGCGCCCCTTGTCCAGGTCCTCCCATAAAGATCCAATCGACCATATCACTCTCGGCCGTTTTTGGTAAGAAGTAAGGTCGGCTGTAGTAACTCCTTAGTTTTCTGGTCTCCTCATCGTAACAGGTACTCCAACCAACATACCACGGTTCACCAGAGAGGTTGGCGCGATTCTCGTCCATAGTAAACACTTCTTCCAGAGAATTCAAACCAGATTTATACGAAAAATAGAAGCAATCATTGATTCTCTTTCCTTTCTTCTCGTTTAGATAGAAGTCCGCGAAGAAATCATAGCTAAACTCCTGTAAATTTAAGATACGGTTCAAAATACTTAATTAGAATAAATTGTATCGCAGATATCAAATAAAAGTAGATACAGTCTTAATTATACGAAAATCTAAGTTATTCAGCCACAAAAGTGGGAGAAATGATAGCTTCACGCTCTTCTTGAATAAGAACGGGTTATCGGCACCCATAACTGATGAGCGTATATGGTGAATATTATAAGAGAGGACGTGGCATAAGGGTTGTGAGGATAGAAGCATCTTAGAGAACACAGCGTAAAAATAGAAAAAAGATGTCTATATTATATTTACTTCAATCGCCCTCCAATCTCTCGTAGCATCGGTCACAATGACAGGTTTAGTGGTATATGCAAACAGCTCCTCAAATTCCTCGGCCGTGATATCTGATAGTCTCGTGACGTTCTTTATGTTTATGCACATGGAACAGTCCTCTGGAGGTCGAAAGAGAGACTTAGACGATGATGGCAGTTGAAGAATGCAGTCCTGCAATTTTCTATTTAATTAATTTTTAGATAGCGGCGTGTAGACGTAATAAATACCTTACGTAGCATTGCTACAATATTAGCAATAGTTTAAAACTTACATTCTCAGTATAGAACTGATTAAAAATCCAGGACAGAATAAAGCCTAAAAAGGCGACCACAGTAGCCCCTATAATATATTTAAAATACCTCCTGAATTCACTAGGTATTTGCACTTTATGAGGTAATTCCAGCTTTGCTACAAATGTAGTTTTTAGTTTAAGATTCTCTATTTTCCTGATTAGTTTTAAACATTTAAATTCCGCGGTTTTAATTTTTTTTTCATACTGTTTGGCACTATCACCATTCATCTTAAAGTTTCCGAAAGATATGAAAGGGCTGAGAACATTGTCACCCCTTTATATCGCGGTTTTTCTACACGGTTACAAAAGACATGGAGCATCCCTTATACAAAAAACTTATTTATGAGAGGCTTAGATATCTTTATTGTTGTTAGTTGTGAGCCTTTCCTTCTCGTAGACAAAATATTGTATTTTGTGGAACAAAGAAGAAGTATTAGTTTTAATCCAATTTTATACTTGACGGTCATTAAAACGACATAGGTATTTGTGCAAAAAAGATTGAAGAATATTATATTTTTACTCTATAGGTTTTTGTTCACGTAATCGCAAAAGGCTGTCAACGCAACAAGTGTTTAATGGGTATGAAATTGAAATTCATTATCAGTTCTCGACACCACAACTGTGACCCCATTATACGGTTCGCTCCATATATGCAATAGGGTTTTGAAAATGAGAAGAGTAACTGACTGATTCTTTAACTGAATATTGGGGTCTGAAGTAAGTTCAACTAGATTTTTATTTTAGACGCCATGAATTTGTCTACTTGGCAATATTAAAAGTTGAGTATTTTACAATAAAACTAAAAATCCCTTTCAATTTCATTTAGATACCCTTAAATGTAAAATAATATACTATTAACCGATAAATTAGACAAATTTTGTGTTTTAGCCATTCTTCGTAGCTTATCCTATGTACATATGTCTTTACTCACTGTCACAATATTTTATCTTGTGTGATATGTCATTTATTTTTACAACAGTGTCACTTTCAAGCTTCAACTTTTCATTTTTGTTTTGTTTCACATTTTTATCAGTTCTCACTATTGAAACAGCTGTTCTTGTGTTTATTTGCCATAAAAGTGTTCCTATGTTTAACAACAAAATATTAAAGTAGGGTTTTTGTTAATAATAAATGAAAGACTATCGCAATGGCAGCAATATTAGGTGGTGGTCTAGGAGGGCTCTCCACGGGTTATTATTTGTTGAAAAATAATGCAAACAACTCGAATAAACTTAAAATTTTTCTCTTCGAAGCTACAAATCAATGCGGAGGATGGATAAAAAGTATTCGCACTAAAGATTACTTATTTGAACAAGGCCCAAGAACCATTCGCCCGAAAGGCATCACGGGTCTTAATACTCTAAATATGATGCAAGATTTAGGGCTCAGTGAACACATATCTCCGATAAAACCAGATCATCCTGCTGCAAAAAACAGAATGATCTTTGCTAACAATGCTTTGCATCTTCTTCCGTCCAGCCTCAAAGGGGTGTTCCAAAAAAATGAACCATTTTCAAAACCCCTTATTTATGCAGTATTTAACGACTTAAAACAACCTCAAAAAGAATTGAAAGACGACTCCATTTACAATTTTGTTGATCGCCGTTTTGGTAGAGAAATAGCAGACTATGCAATATCCCCAATGATATGTGGCATATGTGCTGGTGATGCTAAGGAAATATCTGTCAAATTCTTAATGAAAACATTGTTTGAGTATGAACAAAACTATGGTGGGGTAATGAAGGGTTTAATGAAATCAATGTTCAAAACAAAAATACCTGATAATATAGAGTTAACTGAACTAGCTAAAACAGCAAAAGAAGAAAAGTGGAGTGTGTATACTATACGTGGGGGCCTTGAAATATTCCCAATCACACTCAAAACCTATTTACAAGATAGCAATGTAAACATGCAATTTAATACTAAAGTTAAGGAAATAGAATTTGTTGACTCAAGTTTGGTAAAGCTTAAACAAAGTAATGGGGAAGTCATTTCAGCTAATCATGTTTATTCTACCATACCAGCTCATATTTTATCTAGATTAGTTGAACGGCAACATCCTACCCTATCTAAGAACTTAAGTGATATACCGTTTGTAACTGTAGGCATAGTTAATCTATATTTTTCAACAAATAAACCACTCATAACTCCAGCTTTTGGGTTCTTGATACCACCAATTGAGAATTCACCTATATTAGGTGTTGTGTTTGACTCTTGCTGTATTCCTGATCAAAATGGGACAGTCTTAACAGTAATGCTGGGTGGAAGATGGTTTAAAGAGAAGTTCGGTGAAAATGTAAAAAAGGATAGTCTTCTAAATATTGCAATGAAAGAAATAAAATCAATTTTGAAGATTGACGATGATCCAGCAGCTTTTAATGTTAATATACTCCATAAATGTATCCCGCAATATGTGGTTGGTCATTATGAACGAGTGGACAAAATAAGGCAATATATAAGTGAAAAGAATTTGCCTATTTCTTTAATTGGCAGTAGTTATGATGGTGTAGGTGTAAACGATGTTATTTATTCTGCAAAGTCTCAAGTAGAACAGGATTGTACAAAAACTTAGTATATATGAAAAAGTCAAGACTGCATTTATACACAAATATATTATTTTAGTTATTTTCAAATGGGATATTTTGGTGCAATAATAATGTTTATGTTATTGAGATGCCATATTATGTTTTACCTGATTAATGAATTTACTGTGATGGTTTGTGCAATACAATTATAATTAAATTGTTAAAAACTTATTTCATTATTTTTATACTCCATAGATATTTCATAATAAAATTAAATGTTGTGCAACTTTGAATATATGCAATCTACAATCTCTATTAGTGAAACAAGTTGTCAAGGACAGGATATTCATCAAATTTAAACTCTTTTCAAATAATTTAGCATAAATAACACATAAAAAGTTTATTGATTGATATTGATAAAAGAGTAAAGTTGATAATTTTTTTAAATTGATTGATATTTCAAAATGGGATGTTTAAAATAATTAAACAAACAATATTAGTTTAAGCAATATCTGTATTTGTTGTTAATGTTACTACTTCGAAAGATATTCGATATTACTTAACTTACATTAAAATAAATAATACTTTTTTGACATTTAGAAGTAAGAACCAAAACATGATAAAGCTGTTTAAGGTAAAAAAAATCTTAAGACTAGAATATGGAAAAGTGCATAAAACTTACAACTACTTGTAGCACCTTTTTAATAAGTTCATTATGCATTGCATTTACATTACCACAAGCAAAAGATTCCCCTGAAAGCTTTTTAATATAAATTTTACATTGTTAGCAGAAAAAAAAACTTGTTTTTAAAATGCAAGTTCATTTTTGCTTGAATAATCTCAAGTTATTTTAATTGTAAAACCTTAAATTTTGTTAACCTAGGAGTGGGAAAATAAATATCACTCAGCGAGCATTTCAGTCTTATTCAACCAAAAGATGCCATGGCAATAAATTAATATGAGACCTTAACATACTATATTATCATGTAGAATATATTTTCTTTACTTTATATTATAAAACATTATGTTAAAGTGTTTTACTATTGAGAAACAATTCCAAGATCTATGGTGACTGTGGTGTAGAGGGTGTGGTCTCTGGGCTGAGTGGAAGTGGGTGGTACTGTGTTTCGATATGTGTATTGTAAAGCAATCACAGCAACTGCCGGAAGACCCGCTTTGGCACTTTCATCTGTTGTAAGTTGCAGACGGAGTGCTAGCTTGTTGGATTTCCTCCAGAGTATTATGCTGAAATTAGTTAAAGTACTTTAAATATATGTTGAACTAGTAGACTCGGCCAAGCGTTGCTCTGGCTAAGATTTTTGTTATATTACATAGTAGTAAACTATTCAAGGGAAACGGTAGGAGAACTTATGTGAAAGGTAGATGACAGCTTATGTGAAACGTTGATAATTTTAACACAGCGCCATCTGTTAGAATTGTATCAAATAATAAACAAATATTTTGCAACTATTGCGACTATAATTTGAGATTTAAACTATCCTATCTCTCAAGTTGGATCGAACTGCACATGGTGTGCAAATTTGATTAATATCGGTTCGGTAGTTTAGGAGTCCATTGAAGACAAACATTGTGACACGAGATTTATATATATTAAGATGGATAGGCAAGATATCCTAAATAATTTATATTCTTGCATATTATGTTTCTGAACCCTAAATAGCTATAAAAACCAATCTAAATAAACCTATTTCTGTTTCAGTTTCATTGATAATAATTCTTCAGCCCATTTTTCTGTCTGTGAACCAAGACCAATTTTAATTTCATTGGACACTAAACCACATTACTAGATAGATTATTAAATTTTTTTTTTTTTATCATATTTTGGTAAACCAGACTTTTTTATATTTCTATTTGAAGTACATATTTTCCAAATTTTGCAAGAAAAGAACCAATCCACACTTACTCATTGGTGTCATGATGCGAATCATCATCGTACTCAGCAGCATCGTCTCTTTGAGCAAGGGTAAAGGTTAGCTCTGGGTTATTCACTTTTATTGCAGAGGGCAAAGTTGGCTTGCGTTCCACAACTGACTTCCAAGACATGTCCTGTAGAAATACATTAGACTTGTCAAGGCCGACTCAAGAAATGCACAAGGATTTTTGAATAGACATTAACGCCAATATTTCGCGAAGGATTTAAAGTGTCCTTCTTTCCTTCTCTCGTTAATCAACATCACAATCAAATCATATTCTAAATTTACCGCCATAAAATGGTTATACTATGGACGAGTACGCAACATCCAGTGGCGTAACTATACCAACTGGGGCCCGTGGCAAATCTTTCGTGGCAATTCTTTTGATGGGGCCCTATCAGTAAAAATCGTCCCTACTCCGTTTAATTTTAATAAACTTCGAGATTTTCAGCGTACTGAATCACACGTTGTATATGTCCTACTAATGGCCAAAAACCTCCTCTCTTAGGCGAGAGGTAATGGTATGTAGTCCCCACGCAAGCCCAATGTGTATTGGAGACTTCATATTCATCCATAGAACATAATCTCTTGGGCCCATGGCATTTTGCCAGCCCTGCCACCCTATTGCTACGCCAATGGCAACAGCTCTATTGAACTCTAAACAAGATTATCGAAATTAACTTTACATTCAAGTTGACGCCTTACCAAATTTTCTAAATTCAAAGCAGTTGAAGAGTATTAATGGAAATGCATTTAGCCTCATAGTGTATTTTTTTTTACGACAAGTAGAATTGTTAAAAGCTTAGCAATTTTGTAGCACTTTTGCATTATAAGGGACAAACCTTTTCTAAGTTTAGTGATTTCTCCAATGACTTCTCAATATTCTTCGGTTCTTCTTTCTCTTCAATTTCGGGCACTTCATTCGGTTGTATGAGTTGTATTTGCATTTCATGAGCTGTCGGATTTGTCAGCTTCAGAAGCAATGCTGATGTAACTCCTGGCTTTATTGTCTCATATGAAATAATCTTCACTTCTGGAACATGGTAGCTAAAACCAAAAATTTTGGTAATACTCTTCAACTTTTTTGTAATTTTCACCTACAGAAAACTGCACTTCCAACAAATAACAAATGTAATACATATATCCAAAAATACTTACAATGCAAGCAACTCAATTTTAAACTTAATAGAGCCAGGATTATATTCAGGCTTAGTAAGGTTGTGGTCACACTGCCTGCAACGCTGACTTCTTTTCACACTGAGAGGACGAGCAATTGGCTGTAAACGAGATACTTGTTGGGCTTGCCACTCTGGCGACGCTAAACGTTGTGGCATTGTTGTTACTGAAACCATTAAAAACAAGAAGAAAATATTAAAAATAATTACTATTCATAATAGACCGTGAAACAACTCGTATCGTGTCCCAAATTCTTTGTATTTTTAAAATCATACAAGTACTAATATCGTTTCAAAAGGACAAAAAGTGGTGTAATATTACAAGATAAAATAGTGTAAATGTTATTCCGACCAGGAACATTGTAAAAGCATTAGTAATTCCCAAAATCACAATGCTTTAACCGAGTGACGTTTGTAGGTAATTTGTGTTGATAAGAATACCCTAAAGTGCATGAATTGTGTAGTGCTCAACATATCAACAAAGAACAACACTAAAGTGAAATAGTGAAACACAGTGAAGTAGTGTGAAGTAAACTAATTTGTGCAAGAAGTAACGGTACACGTGTCTTGGTATAACTCTGACTCATTTAGTGTCGGTGACGCATGTAACCTGAACAACATTTTCAACCAAATACAGTACAGACGTTTGGTCAATCGGTTAAGTTCCGCCACATCCCTCATAGGAAACGAGTTCAAACCTCAGTAGAGAAAAATATTATTAGATTTTTTAAAAATTTATAAAAGCTAAATCAAAATTCAATTTATCATTTTAAATAAGATAATCACATAGGGACACATACTTCATAATAAAAACATTTGTCAATAGAGGGCAGTGTCCGCAAGATTGTTTTCGTAAATGCGAAAATAAGCATACCAGAGCGCAAAACAAATATAACATAGAAAAAAAAAAAATTCAACCGGTGATACCAACTACCAGCCAGTGCTGCTAACTAGTGTTGCCAACTAAAAATAGATTTTACACACACGTACTAACGCTAACTCACAGCCATGGAGAAACAGCTGGCACGTCTACTAGAAAAAATAATGGAAATTGACGAGAAGCTGAATAAAAACAAAAAGGATACTAGGGACGAATTTCGTGAGCAAACAACTGCCCTCACCAAAAGCCTTACCCAAAGTATGGCGTCGACAATAGAAGAAAAACTGAAACCGTTGGTAGAAGAGAATAAAAAACTTAAAAACGATGTGGCAATTATGAAGAATAAGGTGCAAAATCTGGAGAGAGAAGTCAGAAAAAATAATTTAATACTCCACGGAGTAGAGAAAAACGAAAGCAATAATGCAGAACTCCTACAACTAGTCCTGAAAGTCCTTAATTAATGAGGTGGGTAAAGATTGCACGCTGGACAACTTTGATAAATGGGAAATAAGTGAAGCTCGTAGACTTGGCTCTAAAGTTGACCAGAAACGCAGGCCTATTCTCATAAAGTTTACTCTAGCATGGAGAAAAATAGAAATCTTAAAAAACAACAAAAGATTCCCTGCAAACATATACGTGTCTGAAGACTACCCCAAAGAAGTACTGCAAAAGAGAAAAGAATTAAAGTCCCTACAACAAGAAGAAAGAAAGAAAGGAAATCTGGCCCTCATCCGATATGATCGACTCATAATAAAGGAAACTGAGTTGAGAAACTCAACCAAGGCAAATGAGAAAAGGAAGCGCTCACCATCTAAAACACCAACGCAATCTGACTGCTATGAAGATACAAGGCAGACGGCGCCAAAGAAAGTGATTGTAACCAATGCATTTGAAAAAATGACACGCCACAGACCAAATTCTATTTCTGAAACACAAACCAATAACAATTAGTACACAGCGGTCCCCGGAATCAATCAACAAAAATAAAACCAAAGAACAAATACAAACAACCAACAAAAAATACCTTTCCCCAAGCCGGACAGCGGTCTCCGTGGGGAAACACGACCGCAACCCTCCAGCTAACCCTCGAGAGAAATCTCTAAAAATCACATTGAAACAATCGAACCAGCCAAAACCCAACCTACCAAAACCAAACCTACCAAAGTCCAGAGAGAGCCAAAGCAACGAAGTCAAATAAACAACAATATTTATATCGGCACGCTCAACGTACTAACACTAAGAACGGAAGAGGCGCTCAAGAACATTAAAGGCCTGTTCAGACCTAAGCGGTATTCGCTACCGTCTGCGGCAGAGAAAACCCAGTGGGTATGCGGTAATATTACTGTTCAGACCTAAGCGGTATTTGCTACCGTCTGCGGCAGAGAAAACCCAGTGGGTATGCGGTAATATTACTGTTCAGACCTAAGCGGTATTTGCTACCGTCTGCGGCAGAGAAAACCCAGTGGGTATGCGGTAATATTACTGTTCAGACCTAAGCGGTATTTGCTACCGTCTGGGCAGAGAAAACCCAGTGGGTATGCGGTAATATTACTGTTCAGACCTAAGCGGTATTTGCTACCGTCTGCGGCAGAGAAAACCCAGTGGGTATGCGGTAATATTACTGTTCAGACCTAAGCGGTATTTGCTACCGTCTGGGCAGAGAAAACCCAGTGGGTATGCGGTAATATTACTGTTCAGACCTAAGCGGTATTTGCTACCGTCTGCGGCAGAAAAACCCAGTGGGTATGCGGTAATATTACTGTTCAGACCTAAGCGGTATTTGCTACCGTCTGCGGCAGAGAAACCCAGTGGGTATGCGGTAATATTATGTTCAGACCTAAGCGGTATTTGCTACCGTCTGCGGCAGAGAAAACCCAGTGGGTATGCGGTAATATTACTGTTCAGACCTAAGCGGTATTTGCTACCGTCTGCGGCAGAGAAAACCCAGTGGGTATGCGGTAATATTACTGTTCAGACCTAAGCGGTATTTGCTACCGTCTGCGGCAGAGAAAACCCAGTGGGTATGCGGTAATATTACTGTTCAGACCTAAGCGGTATTTGCTACCGTCTGCGGCAGGGAAAACCCAGTGAGTATGCGGTAATATTACTGTTCACACGAAAACGGATTTCGCTATCCTTGTGGGTAGAATAACGCGCGGTAGTCGAGTTTCGCTCAGAGAGGTAAGAAATTTGCGCCAGTTAGTCATTGCTCAGGTCGCTCTAGCCGCGGTACTTGATACCAAATCCTGAGCGAAACCCGCGCGGTATGTACCTCTACCCACAGCGGCAGCGAATATCGCTCAGGTCGCTCTAGCCGCGGTACTTGATACTAAATACCTGAGCGATACCCGCGCGGTATGTACCTCTACCCACAGTGGCAGCGAATATCGCTCAGGTTTGAATAGGCCTTAAGGGATAGGAAGGAATGGAAACAGCTGGAGGAGGCCTTTGTGCCACAAAGGCAAGCTATACAAGAGGACAGCTGTGCTTGTTGAACTTTTTTTAATATAAATTTATATTTTGTTCTCTTGTATTAGTTGAAAATAAAGGCTTTGAAATTTGACTATTCATAATAAATATTTTATGATTATCATTGTCACATTGTTTCAGGGCACTTACAAGAGATAGACAACCCTGGGGCGGTCCAAGTCGGTGGAAAGGATTTTTCTTCCTTCCTATATATAAAAAAAAACAACTACAAAATAAGATGTCTTTGTTTCAATAGGATATGTATATTTAAATACTAGGTGTACTGTCCCTACATACAAGAAATATTCACTTTTTCCTAAATTGGTACCGACCCCAACAACATACAGGAAATATTCACTTTTTCCTAAATTGGTACCGACCCCAACAACATACAGGAAATATTCACTCTATCCTATTTTTACCCTAGCTTATTCTTAAAAAACATAGAAATAACTTACTCATCTTTAAGTTAACCTCCCTGGTGTGGTAGTTATCTGGCAATTCATCAACTTCCTCCGTGGCCTGACTCGTCACAAAGTTAGCAATTGCACTAGAAGTACTCTCACTAGATGGCATACCGGCTCTATTTCGAGCCATGGCACCAGTTAGGCCTGTTTTATCCTGTAATGTTATAATGTAGATGTATACTATAAACCTATAAATATATAATATAATATTATTTCTTATAAACCTGAAGAGTTTGTATATTGGATTACTGCACTAATCTTTGGAAGTAGTAGTTCAAATTAAAAACTTCATTTTGTATTACCTTGTCCATCAAGGAAGACTTATATAACATCGCACAACACCTAATAGCAGAGAAAGTGAAAAATGTTACAAAATTGGGAAAAACAATTCCTTATTGAAATGAATTTTGTGTGAATTATTAAGTTTACGCAAAAATAATTCATAACAGAGTTGTCTATGTTTAACTTTCTATAAAAAGTCTGCAACAGCATTTGCTGTTGTCTATCAATAAGCTGTTTAATCACTATCCAATTTTTTCTAAAGAATTATATAAGTGATTTTTAAGACATGTGATAGAAAACAATATTGTACAAAGCTCTTACAGTAAGAGTGATATAGTTTCCTCTGATAGCGAACTTCTTTCTTTCTTTGTCAAGTTTTTCTTGTTTCTCTTGTTGTGCTATAGCCTTATAATATTCCATCAACTGTGCAAACCGATTTGCAAATGGGTTTACCCTTTCTGGCCAACCACCAGATGCTGAAATTATGAATAATTATTTATATTCAATTCTAAAATGATTTATTAAAAACTAAATAATATATTTAAATACTTTACTAATTTTTTAAACTTTTTTGCACATAAATTATTGTTTTATACAGATCAAAGCAAAAAACTTCTGGAAAATATTCATTTTGTAAACAAATGAAAGTGTCTTTCGTCTCCAAAACAAGGATTGCAGAGCCAGTGGAGTCAGTGAAACAACTGTTGTTATTTGCCAGCATAAATACAGGTTTGTGAATGTAGTGTTTTGCATTTAGCTATAATTTCTGTTCTCTCTTCAAACAATAATTCTAACTCACCAACAGGTTGGTCTGGTATACCAACATCCCTGGATGTCCAGCGACAATTAAAACATGACAAATAGTACATTTTCTTTGGCTGCTTATTTTCAACCTTAGCATCACCAGAGGCAGGGTCCTGTCTAGGCTGGACCATAGTAGCACGGGTTGATAATGTATGAAAGCAACTTGGGCAATCAAAACAACTACTGCAGCGGTTCTTCTTCAGTCTTGCTTCGGATGAAGGCATGTTTTCTAGGCAGTTTGCACAGTAATGTGAGTCAACCTAACAGGACAATTATGATACATGAATTGAGAGTTATGGAGAATCTTGCTGTAGTGGATAATAAGGAAATAAACGGGTTCAGATGGATTGGCACTGCCATGTAATAAGTAATGTTGTTAATTCTCTTTTCATAGTTACTTTTTACAAAACATGAATAATTTGTTTTAATTTAATATTGCAGAAAAAGAAGAAAAATCATACCTCATGACATATACAGAATCCACATCGAATTTTTAAGCAATGACGACAAAAATACAAGTTAGTTATCGGTTTCATTTGTCCGCAACTGCAGACATACTTTACATAATCTGGCTGTACTAAATAAGCCATAATATAAACGCTTATGAAATTTCTTTAACGAATTATTTTAACTTCTTAATTTTTGAGTTGGTGCAGACAATACAATCGATTTGATTCACAAATCACATCACATTTGACTGTGACATGACAATTTTTAATTTGACAATCTGACTATATTGAACAGTTCTGTCACTTGACGTTGACTATTGACAATTTATACTTGCTGTTTCATTAACATCTTAATAATGGCATGGGAAGTAAGGTATCAAAATCTTTTTAATTTTTATTGTTATAAATAGCTATTCTTATTTATTATGTATAGAAACCATTCTAATTGAATGAATGGTCTATTTGAATGGTTTATTTTACTAGTAATAATTAAGAAGAAAAACTAACCGATTAGGCAACGTAGGTATACATCAAAAATAAAACTTATTGTCTGACCCTCACGCGAATACTGGATTCGCTTTTGGAAGACTTAGCACGAACTATGACTCTTGATGTCATAAACGAATTGATTTTTTTAATGTAAATGTATGCTTATCTTAGTAAACTAAATATTGGAGTTTTAAAGGGAATTCAAAATAAACAGAACTAAAACGTGTGTGAGCGACAGTGTGTAATGACGTCCATAGCGGGGAGTTGAATCCTATTTAATCCACGAGATAATAGTAAATAATACCAAGATTATTTACTATTATTAGATAAAGGTGTGTACAAAAGGAATTTCAGCCAATAATAAAAAACCAATGTTAACGATAATTAATCTCTAATAGTACGGGAGGTAGCAACGTTTTCGAGAAAGAATTTCAGGTCAGCTGATTTTGTGATATGTCTTCCTTCTCGCACTTTCGGTTAGAGTCTGGGCAATCTGGCTGGCGGTAGTGGTTGCGTTCTTTAGTGCGCATCCTATCTGTCCAGGTCATATCCTGGATTTTAAAAGCATTTAAAGAAGCGTAATTTTGAATTTTTCGTTTTTAAATAAGTCTACCTGACATACTTTTTTTATTGCCAGACATTTTTCACATTGCTAACTATGTGCCAGACGCGATTTTAAGTTTTTTTTTAATAAACATTTCAAAGTATTTTAGAATGTCTGTAATTTTAATATTATGTTATTTAAATACGTATAATAAAAACTAAAAATTAATTTGCCAGACATTAATTCGATTGTTAAGTCTTGAATTAAACTGAAAAAGTATTGCAGTATGATGAAGCAATGCTTCATCATACTGCAATACAATGTCAGGTAGACTTATTTAAAAAGGAAAAATAAAAAAATACGCTTCTTAAAATCCAGGATATGACCTGGACAGATAGGATGCGCACTAAAGAACGCAACCACTACCGCCAGCCAGATTGCCCAGACTCTAACCGAAAGTGCAAGAAGGAAGACATATCACAAAATCAGCTGACCTAAAATTCTTTCTTTTCAAACGTTGCTACCTCCCGTACTATAATGTGTAACTTTATGTCAATGCGAAATAGTAAAGCTCAGAGTGACTAACACAGTCAGCTAATAATTTTATGTGATATTACAGGAATTATTTCCCAAACTTTACTCATAAATAAAAAAATATCACACTTGACGAAAAGACATGAGAAAAGTATTAAACATTTATCAATAATCAAAAACACGCAAGGCTGTGCTAAAAATTATACTTGCAAACCACAATTGACCCAATCCTGTCAAGCAACTTTTGCACAAAATTAACGTCTTTATTCTGTGCACGAAAGGCATTGATAGGAATACTAAAAATTTTAATTAAAGTGTTGACACATGTACGAACGTATTTTTTCAAAATGTAAATTTATTAGGAAACATGTTGTAGAATAACAAACTTGGTTGCTCCTAATAAAGAGTGCTAACGACTGAGCAATTTTAATAGATAAACGCCTTTTGAACATTTTAAATGTCTTTTTACTTTTCATAAAAGAAAAACTAACAAAAGAAGGACTTTATAGTTAGAAAAAATTATAAGTACGAACGAACATGAATTATAGACTGCGTAATTCGCTAATGTATCGGGTTTTAGCTAATTATTAGATGTAGGCATTTTTCACCAAACTAAAATGTGCGAAAATATTTTAGGAAGCGGGAAGACATTGACTTTATTTAGCAGTAGTAACATATATTAAGTTTTAGTTTGTATAATGTTTAATTTCAGTTTTCTTTTTTTAAATCTATTAGTGTACTTATGTTTTCTGTTTCGTATATTTTGTTTAACAACGTAATCTGTTTAGGCTTTGTATATTGTCTAAGTCTTTTCTTTTAAAATATGTACTTATATGTCATATGTGTAGCTGTAAGATTACTTATAAATAAATAAATGAGGATTTTGAGTTTATTTTAATTATAAAAACATGTAAATCATCAGAAGCATTTGAAACGCAATTCTAAAAAATTGCCAGTGTAATGAAGGCTAGTTTTCCAACACTCGCCCGACAACACGATTTAATTCTTTTAAGGCATGTCAACAGGAATCATGGGCACTTTCTAATGCCGTAATGTGTTGCGACAGTCGGGATCCACTTATGTCAGTTGTATTAATTACCCATTCGATTAAGATGCAGTGATACAGACGTTTTTTAAATTTGTGTCACAGTGCAATGCTCGACTACGTTATTTAATTTGCATATTGATGCATGACTTAGGTATTTTAGTCGGAATGCAGCTGAACATAATTTTATTGTACCTGAATTCGGACATTGTAGCATTCGTACTATATTTAAACCGGTTCTATGCAATTTATGTTTAGTCAATTCTGGTTGAGTTATTTTTTATAGTTTTATATACGTAAATCTAGCTACAATATTAAAAAAAAACATGTGTGTACTTGTGTACACGCGTTATAAGATATACTTCTTTGGCGTAACAAGATAAAAATCTTTAAAAAAAAATTAGTCTACGTTTGTAGAAAAAACGACACTAACAATAGAAAAAAACTAAAATGTTGACTATAGCTAACGGTGTAAAAATTTACTCTCATCGTTTTTTCCTAACGCGCCAAAAGAACATAACTTCAAAAATTCTGTAGTTCTTTGGATAAATAGTCATTATTTACATCCAAAACCACTCATGCTTTAGTTTTATTTTGTTTATTACTTTATTGTAGTCATAGTATGTAGTTATGTTTTTGTTTATTTTCTGTCCGCGATGGAAGGCTGGTGAACCGTGACCAGCACTTCTATAGACCTATTACAGGTACCAGCCTCTCACAAAGATAATCAATACCTGTAGCATGTAAACCCGTAAAATGCAATATTGTGAAAAGGCAAATAAAATTTATTATTATTCTATCAACAAAACTATCTGATCGATTATAAAAATTCTACAATAAGTAATAGACAATGTAGATTTAGAGTATACAGCTGATATGTAAATATAGTTACGACATGTCGTCTGAACGCGAGGAGTCATATAACTAATTTTTAGTCTATCGACGGTCACATTAATATTAAATTTAAATAAATTAAAAATAAACGCTTTCACTACACACTATGATTCTATAATGAATGAATTATCATATAATACGTAATAGCATTAACATTATTGTATTATTGATTTGAAAAGATATAGCTATGTTATGTATAAGGTACAGGTAATTACATTAATAATAATCCAGTGGCGCTACACCCTAAATGGGTCATGTCTTGATATTGCATCCGTTTTGTTCATTTTTATTTCATAGACAAGTAGGTGATCAGCCTTCTGTTTGACGCATGTCGTCGACTTTTTGTCTCAAAGGTCTAAGATGTTTTCCTTCACTGTACGAGTGGTGTAAAATGCGCACATAGACGTAATTGCGACCTTAGGGATGTGTGTCTGTGCCTGCTGAAGCCACTGGGCCAACACTGCTGCGATTTAAGACACTTCTTGTATTTTATTATTAACGTTTTATTTATTTTTAACTAAATTAAATTATTCTTATACCAAAACTTAGCCCTCATGCCGTATATGTATTTATTTTACTCATTATCTTCTTAGCTGACAATAAAATTATGAACAAAACAAAACTTTTGTAAGATCACACATTAGAATTTAAAACACGTTAAAACGATGTTATGGGTGTAAAAATTTATTCAATTAACTTCACAGAAAATAAAGTATATTTAATTGTCTGTAGATAGCAATGATTTTTAAATATACATATTTGTAGTTTTATTGAGTTTTAAGCATTTTTTTCATCTTTACGGAAATCTGAAAAGATATTCATTAAAATTGAACCCATATTAATACACATAGTTATTACTTTATTTACAGCTCTATTTTTATAATATATAAATAAGTAATATTGCTTTCATTTAATCCTTTGTGTTTGACTATTATTTTTTTACTATTTCTTTGTATAATAGTCAAACATAAAGTTTTCAGCGTTATACATAAATAATGTTGCTATTATTATTTAAAGTATAAATGACAAAACATACTGCTACAAATATTAATGGATGGCATATCTTTTTTTAAATAATATAATAAATATACTTTTTTTTTTTAATATTATGGCAATAGTTTTGACTTTATGCCAGTTTCAAGTAAAAGGTTGGGAAACTACACGCGGGAAAAAATAAACAAAGACATCAAAAGGAAATAAAGGGATAAGCTGGTTAAAACCAAAATATGTACACAAAAATATTACATCTTAATATTATTATAGATTATGAGAGAAGATAATACATTATAATACAATAAAGGATAAAGCAAAAGGCAGGAGATTTTAGTCGGAAACGGAACATGAAGTGATTGTAAGGAATTCAGAATGGAGGTACGGTCATATTGGGAACAAGAAAAGAAAATATGGTCGAGGTCACCAATATCTTCTCCACACTCACAAATATTACTATCAACAATACGAAGCCTTGCTAAATGATGGCCTTGCAAAATGATTTTAACCTCAAAGAACCATGGTTTACTGGGGATCCTGGGTTGAATTTCAGCATAATGTTTGCCTTTGAACTTGCTGCTTCTCAACCAAACATCATTCCATGACTACCAAAGATGGGTTTTGGGAAGAGCAGCTAAATCATGA